ACGAACACATCTTGCCAGATCTGAAACCTAACCCCAATGTGGCAACTTGCTGCAAAGCCGCCTATACAAGTCCATATGACCAAGTATCTGCACCATGACTCCACGCAACGCTGCAGAGCAGAAGTCCCTTGAATCTGCATCACTTATAGTATTTCATGCCTAATTCCATCCTTTGCGCTAAAACAGCCCATGCCGAAGCGAAGTACATAGTGATACTATCATGGAGCTGATTTAATGCTCGTGGAGGGCGTCACGGCTCATTGTACAGATGCGAAATGTAGAGAATGCAGGAGAATGCAAGAGAACGCAACAATTATACTATCCATGCGGTCTACTGCAGTGCCGTCACAAACTCCGCGGACTTTCTGTTGTCCTCCTTGATGAAAAGTTTTCATGTTGGGATCCGGCAACATACGGCATGCATTACGGTGATGGCCTCATCGCTCTTCGGATAGAACTTTCTTGCTTAGGATGGGACACAGTCCGTTCACTCCGGGGGTACTCCGGTCTATTAATCGCGAGACAATGGCCTCTTGATGTTCCCACACAATATCAAACGAGAGAAAGATGACCATGATAGTAACAAGCGTTCAAGAGGAGAGCCTCCATTCATGACAACGGCCTTAGGGTAGGCAAGCTGCGTGAAGTGTCCTGTGGCTCGGCTACTAGAAAGTGTGTGTGCTTGTGTGTGTGCAGCATTTGAGGTTCCCTGACGGCCCTTTAATTCCACGCATTGGCTTCTTTAATTCGATAACAAGAATTTGCTCTTCTACAGAGTATCAAGTATATGCGTCATAGCGTAGTTCTATGCCGAATACGAAGAGTGACATGTTCCAGACTGTAATTCAACTCATAACATCTGATATCAAGATACATTAATTGCAGCCATTCGACCTAAAGACACAAGCCCATGCGCCATATACATTTCGTACCCATGCTGAAACATGCATCATCCGACTCAGTTGTTGTTGCCAATCTCCTCCTCCTGGTCCTCCCACTCGCCATCCTCTTCCTTTTGCTCATTGACCTTGAACTCGGCATCGCCCGCCAAGCCCTCGCTGTCGAAGTCGTCCACATCCATATCACTGTAGTACTCGTAGTCATCCTCGTCATCCTCCTCCTCCTCCTTGTCCTTGTCGCCGCCCTTGCCTCCCTTCTGTGCCGCCTTCTGCGCCTCCTTGGCCTTCTTCTTCTTCTCCACGTTGGCCTTTTGCTCGCGGCGCCGCGCCTCCTTCTCCTGCATCCGCTTCTCCCACCGCTTCTCCAGCTCCTTGATTTCGGCGGGCGACTTGTGTATGTACTCGTGCCACATGACCTTGCCCGAGCACATGCCCTCTTCGACCTTGGTCAGGCGCAGCCGCATGCGGGGCCCCAGCTCGACGAGCTTGACCACGTGCTTCTCCACGTGTGCCTCCTCGACTTCCTCCTCTTCGCCATGTTCCGCCTTGGCAGCGCGGGCTTTGGCGGACAGGACCTTTCGAGCCGCGGTGTCCTGGACCTCGACTTCCGCGTCCGTGTCGACTTCGCTGCCGCTCGTCGCGTCCGAGACGTAGCCGTCGCCGCCGTCGCCGCCAATCATGTAGTCTGCAATATCTTCGAGCTTGCCCAGGTTGGGCATCTGGCTCCGTCGGCTGGTCTTGGTGCCCAGGAAATGCTCGGCGGCTTCGATCCGGCGCAGCGGCTTGGAGACGCCCGAGCGCCGCGTGGTGATGGCATAGTGTCGGAAGTTGAGGATGAAGGTGCCGTCGTCCTCTGGCGACTGCTCTCGGTTCAGGAGCAGTACTCTGCGAATCGTCTTAATTGGTGTGGTCTGGGGGTTGATTGGGGGAAACATAGATGAGAAGACGGTGGTGGCTAGTGATTCAAGGTGCTTGGGGACCTTGGACTTGGCGGTGGCGCCGGGGCGAGAGAAGCCGTTCATGACCAGCTGTTATATTCGTCAGTGTCAACTCCAGCTTGGGTCGTTGCAGGTGTCCTTCGTCCTTACCAGAGGGGCGGCAAGGAATTCTTTGCCCATGCCCTTGGGATGCCTCTGAATCTTTTGGATATCCTTGCAGAGAGAGTACTTCTCGACCCGAAAGTTCAGCGTAGGTCCTCGGGGCGCCAGCGCAACTCGCATGTTGGTGTTTCCTCCTTCTGACCGCGAAAAGAGCAGCAAGTGTGTCACTCCCAACGGGCCGCACATGACAACGTAGTCCTTCAACCGGTTCCCCCTCCGCTCCTTGAGCCTGCTGGCGGTCCCAGGCTCCATGACTTTCCGCACATCTGCTGCGAGCTGGCTGACGCTTGAACCGACCTCTCCGGCGCCGATTCGGATGACCATGCTCTTGGGATCGCGGGCCGAGGCATGTCCGGCTGAGTTGGGCTGCGGGTTGTTTGCGCCCATGTGGGTGCGCTTCTTGACTCTTCGTTTCGCCATGGCTAAGTGACTTGTGTGATGGTTGACGGATAGATCGAGATTTGTTGTGAGGCGGACGTCCAATCGATCGTCAATATCAGAGGAAGAGAAAAAAAAAGTTCAAGCAGACTGAGCGATAAGCGCTTATCGGTGATGCAGCGACCCACCAACTTTTTTTCGAGCTTCGAGAGTAGCCCGCTCATTATGCACTTATGCAATTTCTACGAGGAGGAAGACTGTTTCGAGCGCATAATATGCATCTATAAGGTACTTGCAACAATGGAATCAATCTGTAACTTTTCCCTCTTAGATATTTTACCAGTTTGTCCCTGTTATTTTACTTATCAGCTAGGGAGATCGCAGCACCTATACCCTTTTAAATCATGATCAGTAGTTGAAAGCTACCGGACAAGTCTTCAGTGGCTCCAATGCCTATCCTACAATTTGGACCAGAATTCCGTTTGAGATATCCTACCTGATAACTGCATCCTGCATATCAGTGCAGCCCCGCTTTCTCGCTCTTGACCGGGGTTCATCTTTCTGCATCCTGATTTGCTGCCGCAACGTCGAACCCAGAAAAAAGTTGCTGGATAAAGGCTTCCATCTTCCTCCGTCCAGGCAAAACTCGATATCAAGACACACAGAATCAAACACAATGAGCGGCCCAAAGAGACAAAAGACCGCGCACGATGCGCCGGCAAAGCGCCAGAACGAAGAAGCCGAAGACAGCGCCTCTCAGTCATCTCACGATGCGCACACGGAGGAAGAATCAGCGACTCTCGACGTTGCTTCCACTGCCGATGCTACGGAAGCGCCAGAGGAGCCCAAGACGTTCAAAGAGCTGGTAAGAGATCTTCTATGCACCATCCCACAGACCTTCTCCTGTCCTGTTTCATTATGGCTGACGCATCCTAGGGCATTGTCGATTCATTATGCGAAGCCTGCGAGTCCCTCAACTACAAGCGTCCCACGGCCATCCAAGCCAAAGCCATCCCCGTCGCCCTCCAAGGCCGCGACGTCATTGGCCTCGCCGAGACAGGTAGCGGAAAGACTGCCGCCTTTGCCCTCCCGATCCTGCAGGCCCTCCTCGAGAAGCCCCAGCCGCTGTTCGGACTCGTCCTGGCGCCCACGCGAGAACTTGCCGCTCAGATCGGACAGTCGTTTGAGGCTCTCGGCGCCCTCATCTCGCTGCGTTGCGCCGTCATCGTGGGAGGTCTGGACATGGTCCCTCAGGCCATCGCCCTGGGCAAGAAGCCTCACATCATCGTCGCCACGCCCGGTCGATTAGTCGACCACCTGGAAAAGACAAAGGGCTTCTCCCTGCGCTCCCTCAAGTACCTCGTCATGGACGAAGCCGATCGCCTGCTCGACATGGACTTTGGCCCCAGCATCGACAAGATCCTCAAGTTCATCCCCCGCGAGCGCCGCACATACCTCTTCTCGGCCACCCTGAGCTCCAAGGTCGAAAGCCTCCAGCGGGCCAGTCTGAGGGACCCCGTCCGCGTCAGCGTCAGCTCGAGCAAGTACCAGACCGTGTCGACCCTGCTGCAGCACTACATCCTCGTGCCGCACAAGCGAAAGGACACGTACCTCATCTACCTCGTCAACGAATTCGCCGGAAAATCAATCATCATCTTCACCCGCACCGTCTTCGAGACGCAGAGAATCGCCATCCTCCTGCGGACCCTCGGCTTCGGCGCCATTCCTCTCCACGGCCAGCTGTCGCAGTCGTCTCGTCTCGGCGCCTTGAACAAGTTCAAGGGCGGCTCCCGCGAAATCCTCGTTGCCACCGACGTCGCCGCCCGTGGTCTGGATATCCCCGCCGTCGACGTCGTGCTTAACCTGGATCTGCCGCAAGACTCCAAGACGTACATCCACCGTGTCGGTCGAACGGCTCGTGCTGGTAAATCCGGTATCGCCATCAACATTGTCACGCAGTACGATGTCGAGATTTATCAGCGCATCGAGGCCGCGCTGGGCAAGAAGCTGGACGCTTACCCGACCGAGAAGGAGGAGGTCATGGCTTTCCAGAGCAGAGTTGAGGAGGCGCAGCGGGAGGCCAGGATCGAGATGAAGGCCTTCCTGGAGAATAAGGGCAAAGGCAAGGGCAAGGGCAAGGCAAAGGCGGGCGGATCAAAGAGGAGGAGAGACAACATGGATGAGGAAGAGGGTTAAAGGCGATGGCTTACACGGAAAGAAGAAGAAAGGAAAAGTCTTTGCGGAATTATAGGCGCTATCGTGTCAGGCAAACGAAAAGGTGTTCAGGTGGAATTTACATTTAATATCTGTATAAATTTCAAGCAAGGTACGAGTAATATGCACACATCTTCAAAGACATGGAGAGTCTCATGTTGAGGTGAAAAAAAGGAAATCTTTGCTGAATATTCGACAACTCAATTTAATTCAGTCCGAGCCAGTAGTCGCATCCTAAACCCCCATCCCTGCAAATAAGCAAAGTAGTGCAACCTCCCCATCTATCCTTCCGTTGTATAAAGTCCTGACACGATGATGCTGTTGCTTTTCCTGTCGTTAAAAGATAAAGAGAAAACTACTTGTAATCCTTCCCAAAGAAGTCTTCCACCCCCTCTGGAATCCAATAACCCTATGTTCCCATATCAAGAGAGTCGTCCGCGTCTCGACGAGGCGTTTGCGGCTCCGCCATCTCCGCGTCTTCAGGCTCGTCCCCATGCCCTCCTTCCTCATCCTCGTCTTCTTCTTCTTCTTCTTCTTCTACATCTTCGTCCTCTTCATCCTCTTCATCGTCATGGAGGTCCTTGCTGTGGTCACCCTCATGTTCTTCTTCGCCCTCCTCAGCCTCTTCGGCCTCTTCGGCTTCATCCTCTCCGTGCTCCTCCTCATCATCTTCGTCATCTTCATCCTCATCTTCTTCTGCCTCGTCACCCTCACTCTCGCTATCAGCATCCTCGCCACTTGTCTCACCACTCTGAATGGTGCGTCCCAGATGCGGAAACATCAAGCTCGGCGGCACATCCTCCTCGTAGTCCTCCGGAACATCACTGAGGTCACTGTCCACAGAATCTTCCAGGGTATGCGCATCATCGCTCTCGAGCTCTTCCTTGTCCTCCAGCTTTGAGTCGTCCTGGCCATCGTGGCCGTCCTCCTCGTACGCATGCGTATCAGGCATATCGGTGTCCTCCCCTGCCTCTCTCCGAACTTGCGCGTCTGGCCCTTCGTCATCACTGTCGACGTCGCTGACACCCGCATTGGGCGTGTGGCTCCCGCGCTTAGCGCTCGACATGCTTCCCACTCGGCTTCTAGGCAAGGCCGATTTGGGCGTTTCCAAAGACCGAGTAACCGCTTGCTCCGCCTTACGAAGGACATCAGGCCTTCGAACACCAGTCTTGCGGACCCGCGGCGCCGCCTCAGACTTCTCGCCTTCCAGCGGCGTCGCAGTGCCCGGGAGGCTGTCGTGAGTGCTGGGGGGATTCAGGATGTTGCTGAGGGAACTGGTTGGCTTGGACTCAGCCTGGACCTGAGCATGAGCTGCAGCCTCAAGCTTGGCCGCAATCTCCTTGGCCTGATTGCGCTCCTCAATGATCTTGCTCGGCTCCTGACCGGGCAACGTTGCGGCTACATCGACGTAAATCTTGGCGTAGCAGTCGTTGATCAAATCATCGATTCCGGCAACCTTCATCAGATTAGCATTGAGTTTCTTGAGTTCGATAGCCTCCTTCATGCATATGAAGGCTGGAATGTTGGCCTCGTCGCGTGTGGCCCATTCGGCGATCCTCTCGCTGATGATCTCAAACTCCTCGGTGGACAATGATTTGAAGGCGTCGTCTGTAGGATGCGGTATGTCGTGAGCATCTCTCAGCAGCTTCAGGTACGCCATGCAGCATGACTGCCACAGATCGACAAAGTGGTAGAAGTCTGCGCCCTTCTTGCGGAGACGCCGCAGCAGCTGCTCCAAGTTCGTCTTGTCGGCCATGACCACAAGCAGATTGGTCATGAACCGCACATATTGCTCGGTAAAGACATGATGGCGGCCTGGACGCTCAGCGTCGCATTTCCACACATTCATGACCATGGTCTTGGTGAACATGTTCTCTCGCAAGATACCAAAAGCAGCCTGCGCGGCCACCTTGTCGCTCACTTGTGCCCCTTGGCTCTCGTCGAACAGGATCTTGGCGTGGCGTGCAACGATCCGGTGCTGCCAGTTAGACTTGTCCTTCTCCTTGAGCTTCACAAGCGTGGGGATAATGTATTCCGTCCAGTCTGCGGGCTCCGAAAACGAAGCAAAGACGTCATCCGGACTGAACTGCACGCCAAAGGGCTGCTCCGATAGGATTTGTGCTCCTTCTTTAGCAGGGAGGTCCCCTCTCATCACAAGTTTGTGTACAATCGAGACGATTTTGTAGTGCGGCTCGAGAATCGGGTCGCTGTGACGGGACCTTCTCGCGTTGTAGGCGACCTTGACGGCGTCTTTGAGCGCTTTGAGCACCGTATTGATGCCAATCTTGGTGTCCCTATCCTTGCTGTCGAGCTCTTCGTCTGGCGTCTGATACATCTTCCAGTAACACTTGGCCAGCATGTACGGGTTCCTATGGAGAAGGTCAGTTGCTGTTGTCCCATCAGATCACAGAAGGTGCAAGAAGCATAGGCTAAACTCACTTCCAGTTGCCCGGCTTCCGCTCCATGGCCATTCTAAACAGCTTCGCAGCAAACTTCCACACTTTATATTCCGTCATCTGCTCATGGAGGATCCTCTTAAATGTTCCCGACCCCATGTTCTGAATGAAGAATCGTTCTTGGTCAGAGTGCTGAAATGGTTCCATGGCAAATGGCTCCCGGCTCGAGGCATACAGACGCATCCCGAACTTATGGTACAGGTCGTGTAGCGGATCTTCGTCGGTAGCCTCAATCTGTTGGTACCGAGAATGTGACAGGGCCAATGTGTAGCAGTGGATTGCGTTCCTCTGGAACTTGACCAGTTCTGCCCGGTCTTTGTTCATCTTGTCGGCGGTCCACAGCACAGCCTCGTCAAGATCATAGTCGAAGCATTCGGCCAGCCGGAACCATGACTCCCAGCTGTCTGAACTGAATTGCAGCTGCAACCTCAAAAAGGTCGCCCCGATACGGAGATCATCCGTTGCGCCCGGAGTCTGGCGTCGGTTCAAGTCCACAGCCTTGAACTTTGTCAATGCTATCATGCCAAGCAAGAAGAACCAGCCGTGCTTCGCCAGAGCGGCTTCGGGCGTGTTCGTCGACACAGCATCCACCGTCACCTCTCCGACCAACGCTTGATAGAGTCGAAGAGGATGGATGGGCTTTTTGACGAGTTCCGTGAAGTTGCGCAAGTTGTGGATCATTTGTGCCGTGGACTTTGGCTGGCCAATGGTCTGCTGCATATGGTCAATTGCAGTCTTGAGATCCGACTTCAAGAGGTCCTTCATCGGCATGCGGTTTGCTAGAATCATGACCTTTTCCACCAGCTGCATCGTCTGGCGTTTTTCGAGCTTCTCGTGCGGACAGCCATGATCTTGAACCTCCCACGCTCCAACTCCAAGCTTGAGACCGTACAGGTCATAGACCACTTGCGGCAGGTAGTCCTCCCAGTTTTCGATATTCTTGTTCTTAAGCAGCTCCATGCGCATGACCTTGAGGAAGATCTTGTTCGAAGCCTTACAACACTTTCGAAGACCAATCACTTGGTGTATAGCGGCGAGGAAGTCTGCCAGCTCCTTCTCCGAATCAATCGAGTCATGGAGAGGCAGCCCTGCCCTGAACATGGTGAACTGAAGAGACCAGGTGCGCACCTGCATTTCTCGCAGCTTGGTGATGAGAGACTGAAAGGTCGAGTTCGAAGATGGTGCCGTCTTGACCCCTATCTTGACCTCGTCTTCGTATAAGAACGCAACGTGAAGAATTGAATTCGCCTTGGCAATGGCGCTGCAACTTGACTTGAGATGATCATCATCGATGATGTCGAATGCCGAGGAGTCGTTCAAAGCCAACGTCAAGGCCTGGATCAGCAGCTCGTCGAGAGACTTCAGCGTTCTCATGTAGAGAAGCAGGCGAGACTCATCGGGGAGCTTGGCGTACTTTTCACTCTCCAAGTCCGCCACAATCAGCTCAATGCTTCGGAGGAGGCATGAGAACCGCTTTGTTGTGTACTTTATGGCTTCATACGCATCTCCCAGTCGTGACCAGAGAAACAATCTCAGCTCGGTGCTGCTGCTGCTCAAGAACTTCCACAAATCACGCATGCCCTGAGTGGCGCAGTCCGATATGCGTTGCTTGTTCTTCTGCTGTTGATGTTCCCCCAATTCAAGGGGAGAAGATGCCTCACGCTCTGGCGCCTCCTCTGGCCTCTCCGCAGATATGCAGACGGACGAAGGGTTGAGGACAGGCTCCAGTGTTTCAATGACATGAACGGGACTTTCCATACCTTCCTGAAAAAGGCTGAGGAAGAAATCCATGGTGGTGAGCTTGGAAATTTCCCGGTCTGCCGCGGCCGGGGAGATTGTGGGCATGACCACGTTGTTTGGTAGAGTCAGCGGCTCGACTTTCTCCTCGGTTAGAAAATCACGAAGCGACGTCCACAGCAAGAGAATGTGCTCCCGAACTGGGTTGTCTGAGAGCGATGACACCAAGACGGATGCCCACAGAAACCTGACGCATAGGGGATCAGCTGGTGGCCGATCCATCAGGCGCACATAAGCTGACGCCAAATCCAGCCACCGCTGGAGTCGGTATTTGGTTTCCATGCGGGTTGCATAATCCACGGCACTGCTTGGGTTGGTGATTCGCTCGTAGATGTCGATGTAGAGTTCAAACACCATGGGGATTAGAGATTCCAGCTCCGCGAGGGCTTCCGGGGACGATTCTGTCTGCAGTGCCTCCGAAACTAGGGTGTAGAGCGATGAGTCGGCTGCGTTGAGCATCTGCACAACCGCTCGTTTCATGTCGTCGGACCACTTGAAGGAGGCATAGCTCGAGCTTATGGTCTTCATCCACTCGAAGATAACATCGTGACTTGTCATCTGCTCACCTCTCTTCTCCACTCTCAGCGCGAAATCTCTCAGCCCTTTGGTTTCGTTGAAAGGAACAGTGACAGCTTGATCCTCGGAGCCAGTCTTGGCATGCTCCAAGAAAGACGAGAGCCCCAGAGTCGCCTGTTCCTTCTTGTTAAGAAAAACCATGGCAACATCTTCCTTGAAGTCAGCGATCAGCGTGCGCAGATCTTTGGCCCCGACACGAGTAAACTTGGACGACCGATCTTCCGCCACGCACAGGTTGAGCATCTCCTCCAGATAATCAAAGGTCCCTTTATCCTCGACTCCAATGACTTCCAGCAAGTGCTTGGTCATTGCAAACAGATGTTGGTCAGCTTCCTGGAAAGGGCGCAGTTGGTTGGCTATCAGAGTGCTCGGATCGGGGGCTTCTTCGGCCTGCGTGGTCTCGGCTCTCCTTCGAACTCTCTTGCTTCTCTTCTCCGTCACGTTCTCTTCATCGGCGCCGTCTGGGAGTCCCGCGGCGGACTGTGATCGCTTCCTCGCTGACTGTGTGGCATTGGCCTCCTTTTGTGTCGCATCAGCGCCTTTGCCAGCGTCATCGGCACCGTCGGACCCTTGGCTCCCTTTCGATTCCCGCGGCGGCGTCGCTGACGCCTTTGCCTTGCTGCCATTTGTATCTGAAGCCTTTTTGTCTTCGGAAAGAATGCCATTCTCGGGTCCGTTGCTGGCCTCATCTCGCGATTCGTCCATGTCCGTATCCTGCTCGGCAGTTTGCAAGATTAGTCTGCATATCTCCAAAGCATCCTTAGTGCTCTCGGCACATTTCATGAGCTCAGATCCAAGAGCAGACCAAGACTCGACATTCCTGCTCGACACGTCCAAGTCGCTCGATATGGTAACACTGTCATCAGCGCTGCCGTTGTCCAGAAGCTGTTTGGTGATCTGCAACTCCGCTGGCACTGACAATGTCGCAGTCGGATCTGGCAGAAATGGAATGGGGTCGAGATGTCGTTTCAGCAGCGCTGGCAGCTTCTTCTTTATCCAAGGCGCCATTGCCGGATGCGACAATGCCATGTCGTCGCCGAGGAGATTCAAGTACATCTTGAGCTGCTCGCCCGCCAAGCTCTCGGCGAGAGAAGGAGGTTCAACCTCCATCACGGCAGGGTCGTCATCCAGCTCTATTGCAGCTTCCAGGCAGTATCGCTTGATTCTTCCGCTGTTCAGGGCGCCGGCAAATCTCGCCACTTTTCTCCAGAGCTCCGGATCTGAAGGATCCTGGTCCAGCGCAGCGGTCCAGTTGCCGAGTATCTTCTTCCCATGGTCGCTGGAATAGTAAAGCTGAAGCTTGCTGCCCCAATCAGGGTCTGCGTCCCTCTCATCTTTAAGCTTGTCCAGATAAAACTGCCCATAATTCTTGTAGGAGAGGTAAAGCGCAAGAGCAAGACTAGCAGCCACTCCATCTGCGCCGCCCGCGGCCACATCGAGTCCGTCTGCGAAGAATTCGGGTGCTGAGGTGTCTTCTGCCTGGCCATCAGCCTGTAGCTCCGCTCGCTCGTAGTCGGTCTTCGCTTCTCGATACTTGAATATCTCGGACTCGAACAGCTCGTCGTAGGCGGCACTGGCTGCTTCGCGGGACCGCGGGCCTTGCGCGTGGAGCTTCAGCGCATTCTGAAAGCGCTTGAGGGCTTCATCTACCTGCAGAAAGCGTCAAACTGTGTCCTGTTTCGATCTCCGTCCATCAGGTGCGCATGTGCAACTCACGTGAAGCTCCTTGGTGGTATCGATCTGCTCGTCGAGGTTTTCCTCAGGCTCGAGATTGATGGCCTGAAAGGCGGGCTGCAGCAAAGGGTCAGGTCAGCATGTTATCGTACAACATATTATAAAAGGACGAGGTGATCAGACGCACCATGATCGCAAGCGATATGCGGACGCTGACAGGGCCAGCATTCGCAGAGTCGTGAGGTGAAGGTTGGAGGAAGCTGGAGTTTCATCTGGCCCTGAATGACGTTCGAATACATGTACCGGCTCAACTGGCGCGTCGCGTAAATTCAATTCAATTGGCCCAGCCGAGGCGATAAGATCAAATTACAGCAGTGACTTCGCTTGACTCTCAGCGCGGCAAGTGCTCTGTCGGTAAGTAGCTTGAGGGGGAGGTGGCGCACCAGCAGCTGACTAAGAGCGCTGTGGCCGCCGCTGCAGCCCCTGCGGTGCCCCCCCAAGCGACCCCCAAGCCCCCCCGTACCTGGCCTTGCTGGCATCGAGATACCTGGGCTGTATGTATGTACATGTGCCGTACACGTGCAGGTGCCAGAACCAGGGCGGAACCTTGAAAGGCCGGTCATACGTGGTCAGTGTCCAGTGCCCCGGCAGCCATCGAATCCTTGCTCGAAGCTTCAAACAGCTGCTCCAGCCACCGTCTGCGCAACTCCAGCTCTGCATCTGCGTGGAACCGCTGCAGCCGCTCTTCATGGTTGCCGCAGCTCTCAATCGCCCCCGGAGCAGCTCGAACCCATTGATCGCGCAGCTTCAACAGCCCCGTTGCCGCCATGGTTGCGCCGGCAGTGCCTGAGTGAGCCTCCCGCGATGCACGCAAGCTCCAGACAAGGGCGCCTAACTCTTGCTCAGGTTAACCGAGGACATCCTCCACGAGTCGATCGACGCCAGGACAGAACAGCTTGCGGCGCTGCGAGAGCTGGGTCCGCCGGATCTGGTCCATCTCGTGAAGCAGGCAGTGCGCAATCCGGGCAAGCAGGTTAGCGATGGCGACGATTTCCAGGCACGAGACAAGCAAGCTAAAGGGTGTTGATTGCAGACCGGCGTCTACCATCACGTCACGGGTGTCGATGCGTCGTCCTCGGCCAGTCTTGCGGCTTATATCAACACATTGACGTACCGTGACCATGACCCGAACACAACCACCAGGATTGTCGAGGGTGTCTATTGGTAGGTGGCAGAGATCGATGCGACCGTTCCGCAACATGGGAGGTGCTGACAGCGCAAAGCTGCTACAATGCCTTCTCGCGCCTGGACATGCGCGTGCATGTGTCCATTCCCGGAACCGTCGAGAGCTACTGCGTCGACGAGCGAGGCGAAAAGCGAAAGGCGTCAGACGACCTGTGGCTGGAGACATATCTCTGCAGCGTCCTGAGAGCATATTCCTACGCCGACGATGGTAGCGGAGACAGCATCCGCAAGATTGTCGGCGTCCGCAGATTCAATCCCGTCACCAACACCGAGACTGAGCATCGCTTCCTTAACGCGGCTGAGCAGCTCTTCTTCCGAGGCAAGGAGATGGAATGCATCACGGACTTCATCAGCATTCAGCTAACATCACGTAGGATGGCAACTTGGATCAGATTCCATCGTTCAAGTGCCTACAAATGTGTCGAATCATCTCACCACTGGGCTGCTCAAGTACCTCGAGACGACCGGCCGATATACATCCGGCATCAACCTCTTCGAGAAGCTCCGAACTCAGAGCGTCGAGGTCGCTTCACTGCTTGCAAAGGTTCTGTTCATGGGCAATGAAGAGGTGGCAGGAGTCAAGGTTCTGTACCAATCGCTTCAGCAGACTCCCATGGACTACGTCATGCTCGACACGCAGGCAGACTTCTTGATGAAGAAGGCTCTCAAGGCCGATACGATGGAACTGAAGGAGGAGAGGCTCAAGATGGCTCTTGGGTGCGCAGACCGCAGTACGATTGCTGCACCTAGCGAGTTCAGCACTTGGGCCAGGCTCGCCCAGGTCTACGTCGCTATGGAGGACTGGGAGAATGCTCTGACGATACTCAACTCGTGCCCCATGTTCACCTACCAGGACAAGGACTCACCCATGATGCCCGAGCCGAGAGACGTTCATCTCCCTACTCTGCCCGAGACGCGCCTTGACGAGATTGACAGCGAACCGGAGTCTAGGTACTCGGAACAGGTCGACCCGAGTCTGTTGAGCCTGCGGGCAGCGTCTTACCGCGGCACATTCAAGAAGGCGTACAGTATATTGACGGAAATGACGTCCAAGATTGGTTGGGATCAACTTCTCAAGATTCGCAGCAACGTCTTTGTCATGGAGGACGAATACCGTACTGAAAAGCAGGAGGCTACCCAGGCTGCTCAGCCGATGCGGAGTCCGAGTATGGATGGCCTTCGGGGCACGCCCGACCCAACTACGAACGGAGACGAGGGCTCGGAGAATGGCGAGAAGCCCGCTGAATCGGGCGCGTCAACTCTGGCCCCCAACGGCGAGAGCAGCGGGGTCGAGAAGCCTTCCAGCACTGTGGACCCTGACGAAGTCAAGGCCGATGCTGAAAATGTGAGTCGAATGCGCAAGTTGAGGGGCGTTGCTGTTTATTGACACCAGGGGGTATAGGGCACCAATACTGACGACCATCTCTCCAAACTAAACACTAAGCGATTGTGCGAGCGTTGGCTCGACAGCCTATTCATGGTTCTTTACGAGGACCTGCGCGTCTACACAATTTGGCGCACGCAGATGGCTCAGTACCGCGCCCAGCAGATCCAGTACAAGAAGTCGGCCGAAGAGTGGGAGATTCTCGGCTCCCTCGCCGAGCGTCTGCAACACTTTGACGAGGCCGCCGAAGCATATCGGGCGTGCCTGTCCCTGCGCTTCAGCCCCAAGGCGCTGGCAGGCGTGCTGCGCGTCTTTGAGAGGACCAAGAGCACCAGGGAGACGGTGGCGGCGGTGATTCGGCTGGTCACCTGGCAGTACAGGTGGTACAGCGAGTTTAGCCCAGAGCTGCTTCACACGATCCGAACTCTGATTGAGGACGAGGGCGCCGTCAAAGTCAGGAGCATAATCCAAGCAACAAGCCTTCCGCAGAACGTGCTCGACCTGACGCACCACTACGCCGCTTTATGCGCGACATTCCGCAGCAGCGGCACCGATGGCTAATAGGGAGGAGAAGGAGTGGCTTGAACGGGGGACCGGCTGAGGTGGAGTTGGGCGGGCTTTTGAAGAATAAAAAGAGGTGCATGTTGGAACGGACGTTATCGGCTAGCAGTGATGAGTTTGTCTTTATTTCTGCGGATATCAAACAGCCCTGCAACGGATCGTGTTATTTGTACGGGTTAGTTGTAGGTAGAACTTGAAGTTGAGGCTGCTTATATAATGCGTGAAGATGGAAGCTTGGAGTTGAATCTTCAGACGTCACCGCGGGGCTTTTCTTTTCCGCCTTAGGTACGGTACTTTCATTCGGTGAACAAAGTTTCCATTGGCAGCGGGGTAGCCTTTTCATCGTTAGACTTGGCTGTACCCAATTTTTTTTGATTCCATCACCAAGCTCTTTTTCTTTGCTTTCTGCATATCTACTTTCTATATTCGCAGCAATCCTTGACTCCGGGTTCTCCTACAGGTCATATCATACATCCTTCGAGCTTCGCGATGGCTTCATCATCTACTGGCGGCGCCCCTGCGATGACGGCATCGTCGCCGCCCGTCGTCGTGTGCGTCGGCATGGCAGGCAAGCTTCCCTCAACATCAATCGCCTGGTGCTCCGGTCGTCCAATCTAACATGAGGGGGCATGTCTCCCACCCACAGGTTCCGGAAAGACGACCTTTATGCAGAGAATTAACGCCCATCTCCATGCAAAGGGAACGCCTCCCTATGTCATCAACCTCGATCCGGCGGTCCTCAACGTGCCCTTCGAAAGCAACATCGACATCCGAGATTCAGTCAACTACGAGGAGGTCATGAAGCAGTACAACCTGGGGCCCAACGGCGGAATCCTGACGTCGCTGAACCTCTTCGCCACAAAGGTCGACCAGGTGGTGAACCTGCTGGAGAAGCGCGCAAAGCCCGATCCCCAGAACCCCAATCGCAAGCCCATTGACCGGATCCTGGTCGATACGCCCGGCCAGATCGAGGCCTTTGTGTGGTCAGCGTCGGGAACTATTTTGTTAGAATCGCTCGCATCGTCGTTTCCTACCGTTATCGCCTACATTATCGATACGCCGCGGACTGCTTCGACATCTACGTTCATGTCCAACATGCTCTACGCCTGCTCCATCCTCTACAAGACCAAGCTGCCCATGATTCTGGTCTTCAACAAGACAGATGTCAAGGACGCTTCATTTGCCAAGGAGTGGATGACGGATTTCGAGGCATTCCAGGAAGCTCTGCGCCGCGACGAGAACTCGGACGTGTTTGGTGGCCAAGAAGGCTTCGGAAGTGGCGGAAGCGGCTACATGAGCAGCTTGCTCAACTCCATGAGCCTTGTGCTGGAAGAGTTCTATTCGCATCTCAGCATGGTGGCCGTCAGCTCCCGAGTTGGAACTGGCATTGACGATTTCTTTGAGGCCGTCGAAGAGAAGCGCAAGGAGTTTCTGGATGATTATCTGCCGGAGCTGGAGCGACGGAGGGAAGAGCGGGAAGAGCGCAAGAAGAAGAGTCGCGAGCAGGAGCTGGAAAAGATGATGCAGGGCATGTCGGTCGACGTCAACAACGTGGCCGAAAAGGGACCTATCAAGGTCGGCGCGGACGATGACGATGTGGATGTGCCGAGCGACAACGACTCCGACGATGATGAGGACGATGAGACGACTACGGAGGGCCTACAGGCCAGATATGCGGCTGCCGTGGACGGCCAGGACCATGGCGTCTTGGGAGACGCGAGCTTTGCAAAGTACCTGCACAAACAGCGGTAAGAGCGCAACCTTGGGTTTTTGAAGAGGCGTTACGGGTAGTTTAGGCGTTTTGGAAACTTTAGGTGAACACAATTGGGGTGGGTGCGAAAAAGGGACTTGGTCATGTTTGATATAATCTTTTTTTAAGGTTGCGCCAAAGCAAGAAATACAGGCGTCTCTCTAGACGCGGTTGCAGAACAAGTAATATCGAAAATTTTCCCTGGTATTAAGAATAGGACTCCCTGTGGTGGTGCTCTTGATGATGCCTGATTATTCTCCCCAACTCCTCGTTGCGTGTTGTCTATGTCGTCTCAATCTTTCCAACGCCCTTGATATCGATATTCTCAGCGTGCCTTTCCTCCGTCAAACGTAACTCTATCGCCTCAACGCCTATCGAGCCTCAAACTGCACCATTCTAACGCAAAAAAAGTCAGCAAATTCTTTCTTCTCCTCGCCCTCGTCCCTCGCAACGCAAAGCGTCCACGGCACAAAAAAAGAGGCAAACTCACCGCTTAGTCCGCTCCTTGTACAGCACCCTCCCCGCGCAGTGCGGGCACGCGACCAGCGCGTCCTTGCTGAGGGTGACGTTGCCGCCGCAGTCGCCGCAGATGTAGGTCATGACGGCGCGGCTGTCGTGACGCTCGCCGCCGGTCGCGCCGCGGGAGATTGCGCTGGCGGAGGCGCCGGTTGCGGTGGGGACTTGGTACTCTTCGCGAGGCATCTTTTATTATTATTATTTTTCTATTCGTATGTGGTGTTTTTTTGTGGGAAAAGAGATCGTAGGAGGCAGTGGAAGGCTGGTGGTTGTGTTTGCGCGGGATGGACGTTGGCGGGATGGAAGGTTATGGTCGGCCGTATATGGAGGAGGAGTGGTTTGAGAGAGAGAAAAGTGTGGCGGTGGAGGAGAATTTTGTCCGGCAGAAATTAGGCGGTGGACTACAAACGGAGCGATGCCTTATTACGTGAGGTGAGTGACAATGTGCCGATTGGGAAGCCTTCCAGCTGTGTTTTCGGTGGGCATTGAATTTCTGTCTGCGAAGTAAACCAGTAAATCAGCAATTCAACAGTTCTCTGCATGCCGGTTTCATCAATCGTGACCAAACTATTGAGTCTTGCACGATCAATGGTTTCCTCCTGATCGCCTTGTCCATCTATGGGCGACCTGTCTAGGTTCCAGGCTGGACCCAGTTCGGCCAGTGTCTTGCGCTTCACATCAGGCAACCTCGGCAATTGAACCAGCTTGCCTTGTCAAGCAACACAACGACATCCCGCTCTCTCGCCCGTTGCACGAGAATCTTCCATCTACCAACTGACTACTGCAGGGGACCGACAAGACACACAGGAGACCCATTACCAAAGTATCATGTCATTGAATTGCTGCAATTGAAGAGCAGCAAATCGGGGCTGCTGAACACCGAAGGGCTCGTGTTTGCACGGGCGCCCACGTTGGCGGTGCATGTGGTTTTAGCCGCACGTACTACCTACATACTACCGCCGTTTTCTTAGCGGTTGCTGGGATCTTTGTCGATTTGATTACCTTTGCGACAAACAGTCATTCGATCCCGGCCGAGCTTTGAAAGGACCATGCCCTGCGATTCTGGCTGACGGCTGTGTCATTTCCTCGAGTCAAAGCTTAGAAAGCAGAGCAGCAGCAGAACCAGGAGAGACGAGTTCCTCCCTCTGTCTCGTGTCTCTTGAAGACGAACATCATCATCTCCTCAAACAATCCGCCGGCGCACCACCCACTACCGAGGCATCATCACATCACCACCAACGAGAGAAACCTCAAGGTCCAGCCTCGCCCAAGATGCACACCTCGTTCGACCCGTCCCTCCCGCCTCCCACGATCCGCGAGGAAGACTGCCCGTTCTGCGCCATCGCCGCCGCGCACCCGCCCTTCGACCCCATCGACCCTCCGCACCCGTTCCCCTCGCCGCCCTCGGCGCCCACGTCCTACGTCGTCCTGTCCACGCCCGCGCTCATCGCCTTCCTCGACATCCTGCCCCTCAGCCACGGCCACCTGCTGCTGTGCACGCGCGCCCACCGGCCCAAGCTGACCGACGTGACGGGGCCCGAGGCGCGCGACCTCGGCGGCTGCATCCGCCTGCTGTCCGCCGCGCTCGTCCGCGCCACGGGCATCGCCGACTGGAACGTCGTCCAGAACAACGGCGCCGCCGCCGCCCAGGTCGTCCCACACATGCACTACCACTTGATCCCGCGGCCCGAGATCCGCGCCAGCGGCCGCTACCGCGAGAGCTTCACCATGTTTGGGAGGGGCCAGCGCGAGGAGCTGGACGAGGACGAGGCGGAGCAGCTTGCCGAGGAGCTGAGGCAGCAGATTGCCGACATCCTGAGGGAGGAGCAGGAGGATGGGGAGAGCTTCTTGAATAAGCCTCCGAAGCAGAAGCTGTAGCGGGTTGGGAAACTTTCTGGTTGCGTTTTCTTCTTTCGTCCTTTGGTCTTTTGTTATGTCGTAACTGCGCTGGCTTTTTGTTTGAGTTCGTGCTTTGTTTAGCTCCTTTGCGCACATCTTGAGCGGCTTGCATACGATGGTGGCTTGAGTTCTGACAGAACGGCTAGAACGGCAGCTTTTTTGCATGGAAATTGCGTTCAATTGCTAGAGCGTTGTCGTGTTACGCTGAGCGCAGAGATAGATGGAGTGATACCTTCGACATCCATAAACCAGATTCCAATTGTATATATTGTATTGTCGCTGCACTGAATTGATCCCCTTCAAACCAATTGCCTTGCAGCATGATGCGGAAGCTGCCGTACGTCACAAGAGTGACCCCTAGGCGCACCGAACTGGAACTCATCAATTAGAACAAAGATATGCGCATTGACCGAATTGTTCACAGCACGTTTTCACTGTTGCTTGCACAGGACAGCGACCAATGGAAATCACATACACAGTGAGGGACACTGAGCATCACACGCCGTGCGACAAGAATATGAGCCTCAATGCCTCTTGGGTGCGTTGACTGCTGTTTGACTAAGAGAACGCTCTCCATCCAACTAATGGACTATCGAGTTGTTCCGGCATCACCTTGCATTCAAAATGCCAACGTACATGACTGGTAGATGACACTCATTATAGCCAGTAAACCACCAGGTAATCCCTGTGTCGCCGACCCCGAAACAAAGGAAGGCCAAAAACCGAAAGACATCTGAAAGAGTTCCTTTTACTCGTCGCCTCCAGCAGTCACCGCCTTGGGCTCTGGCGTGTCCGTCGCCTCCGTCGCCTTGGCCGCCTCGGGAGCCTTGACGGCCTTGGCCGGGGCAGACGCATCGGCCGTCTCCTCTTCGGCTTCGGGCACGTCGGCCTCTTCGGCGTCGGCCTCTGCTGCGTCTTCTCCCTTCTCTTCCTCTTCGGCCTTCTCTTCTTCTTCTTCTTCTTCTTCCTGCTCTTCCTTCTCCTGCTCTTTGGCGACGTCGCCGTTGGCTTCCTCGCCTTCGTCAGCGGTCTTGCGCTTCTTGTGTGGCGGCTGCTTGCCTGCTCAAGGTGTTAGTCATTGTAACGTCACATTGCTTTCACTGTAGTAGTGTCTCAATTTGGCAGGGAATGAGAGCCCTGGAGGGAGTTTGGCGGTAGTGAGTCGTCTCGCCTACTGCCGAGGACGAACGCTCTGATGTTTTGGCGTCACTCACCGTTCACTGGGGCATCCGCAGGCTCAGCCGCTTCTTCGGCGTCTCCCTCTTCCTCTTCGTCGCCCTCGTCTTCCTCTTCCTCCTCTTCTCCGTCGTCGTCATCATCGTTTTCATCCTCGTCGCCGGTGGAGACATACCTATCGCAAGAAGCTGTTAGCTCAATCTCTCCATATCTATGACGTTTTGCTGGTGGAAGCAGCTGTAGCTATCTACACTGGTGCCAGAGTGGGACACAGGCTGTGCGAACCGCGGCCCACCCGCAACGCTCAATTGACACCCGGGTCCATCTCGGTCGCTGATCCAGCAACGGCCAAAAGCTGAAACGGAGTGCTCTCGTCACTTACTCTTCTTCCTCTTCTCCATCGTCGTCTTCGGGGAGGGAGACGAGCTCCTCCTCGTCCTCCTCGTCACGGGTGCGCTTCCGGGTGGACATGGTGTGGACTTTTGTGTGTAAGACGGATGAGATGGTGTACTGTAGAAAGTGGACAAGCGAGGCGCAATTGACGGTGGTAGGACTGGGTCGAGAGACGCTGGGCAAGTCCAAAGGAGAGGGGGGGAATGGGGATGCCTTTTATATGTGAGGCGGATCAAAGAAAGAAGAAGAGGAAGAAGAAGAAGAGAGAGAGAGAGAGGAAGGGGAAAAAAGAAAGACAAGGTAGGGGAGAGTGACAGACTGCGAGAGCGCGACAGCTAGACTCTGGGCTGGAGGGAGGGGGAGGCCGATCCAGTCTTACTCCAACCCGGTACAAGCAAGGTACCTCACACGCTGCGCGGTACCTCGAGTCTCCAGGCCAGCCACCTGCAGGTGGTTCTACATTAGCAGCGAGTCTGGGGCCTTGGGGCAGGAATCGCGACAGCACCAGGCTCTCACAGGGTACCGCCGGGTACCGTAGCTGCTGACCCAGGTACAGCTGCGTTGCTACGACTATTACAGGATGCGCTGTCCAAGGTAGGGGAGCTGCAACGCTTCCATGGCACGGAGAGGCTTTTGTGTCTTTTGTCGTCTTTGTTGGCGGAGTGTGAGCCGCATGTTAAAGTACACCGATAACAGCAGCGAGGTACCCCAGAGTCGCGGTGGTGGGCTTGCGCCCAGCCTCAGCAAGTGAAGGTCTGGCGTCATCACCAGCAAGCTCCAGCTCCAGCATCTCTTGGAGACTTGAGCGGCGCTTAGGGTGGACCAGAGGCGGTCCAGTAGGTACCTGTACTTTCTGTGTACGAGACCAACAAGCTTAGAGACCAGAAAACCCGGCAGGCAGCCAGAAGGACGAGAAAATAGAGAAGCGAGAAAGTGGGCGCGAGGAGCAGAAGCGGCGCGAGGGTGAGCAGCAGCAGGACTGGCAAGGTCCGGCGTGGGAGGACCGTGGAGGGGATCGGAGACGCCCAGCCAAGGCCCCAGCCTCCTCCTGTAGGTACATGTACCTACTTGTGCGTGTACTTTTCGTAGGCGAGGCCTGGCCGTTGCTTCTGCTGCTGCTTTGTTAGCCTTCGAGGTATTACAGTACGATTCCAGGTTCTGTTCTGAGCCTCTCCGGCTGCTAATACTAAACAGAATCCTGCTGTCACTCCCAGCGACTCGGGGGCGTCTCTCTAACCAAGCTGGAACCGACCAGTGAGCTCCCACAGCCAATCAGGCCTGCTCGAGCCTGTCCAGGGCCAGCTCCGCGAAAGCTACGACGCGAATGCGGAATAGAGTCACGCCCTGGGTGTCCACGCAGCTCCAGCTCTCTAGGCCGGAAACGGGCGGCCTAGCCAGAGGGGATTGAATACCTTACCGATCCATCAAGAGACGGGACGCGAGAAGGGACGCAGAGCAGGCCAGGTTGGAGGTACCAGATTCGCGCCCAGCAGGTACAGGTACAGTGCTGTGCTGATACTGCATCACCCTCCGCAGTGGACGGATGGCCCTCTTCAGGTTTGGAGCCTCGAGACTGGAGGCTCGCACTCGTCCGTTCAGCCCCATCCAGACTGCCCGTGCAGAAGAGGAGCCAAGTGGGCTTCAGTGAGCATGGAAGCTTCAGCTTCTCCCGAACAATACCTACATGTACGTACCTGCAGCCCGTCATCGCGATCAACGAATTGTATCATCCTGCCACGTGACGCCCGCTCACTCGATCGACTCTGGTCTTGTTCTTTTGCTCCTCTTCCACTTGTCGGCTGTGTGAGTTTGTGTGTGGGCGAGATGCAAGATCAGTGAGATTCAGATTTCGTGCCCTTTCAACTGGCCAAGCTCTCGCCTGCAGCGCCTGGCTTCCACCGCCGTTTCTCGCATTTCATGCCCTTGGTCAAGCTCAACAATGATAAGCGAAGAAAAAAGAATGCAGCGACTGAGTAGCATGAGGACATGCAACAGCAAACTCGAGGTGGCGTGAATGAGCCCATATCCATCCATATCCAACCACCAAGAAACAGCATCGAGTGGTGGGGGAACACTGTGCTCTCTCTCCTCTCACTGCCTCTCTCTGCCTCTCTCTCTCTTTCTCTCTCTTTTCCTTTTCCTCTGTCGCACCCCCTGATGCACAGCAAAACGGGTCGCCCGCCTATCGCCGGATCGCACCAATGCACGTTGTCCTGCCCGAATTTCCCCTTCCAGACACCACATTCTCTGCTATTCGGCCGTCGGCGGCACTACAGTGTCAAAGATCCACTTGGAGCATTCAGTGGTTTGCCATACAATTCTGGGGTAAAAGGCTCCCAGGTTGCTCGCGTATAGGCATGTATACCTAGTTGATTCAAAGAATCTGTCATAATGCGTGACGTTCGCTTCAGCTATTGGGCTTTATTCTGCTGTATCTCTAGTGCGGCCTCTGAGTGCATAAAGTTCATGGAGTTTTTTATGACATATGACTTATTTAAAGGCCTAAGAGGAGATGCTTAGAGAGACGCAAATTCGTGCTCGTCAAGTAGCACGTTCTCGACAGAGTAACTCCCTACGCCCTCATATGGACTCTATTGTCGCGACACACAGAATGCGTATCTATTGTCTAGTGTCATATAATATTCTCCAGGTTCTAACGGGGAACTTTGAATATCATGGTAGAAAGTATACCTAATTCGTACATGTCGGACATTGATCAAATGCCGTGAAACTCATACTAGCTCTCACTCCTCATTCCACCCGATGAACGTGCTATAACTGCCAGAGCGCAACATATCAGCAATACGAGGCATGTTTCCAGCAATGCGCAACAGAACTATCCGCCCTTGTGGACTTTCCTGTGAGTTTTGCAGTTGCACGGATAGGGCCCGATGTTGCAGGGTATCGCCTGCAAGAACAGCAGGCGTAAGGTGACAGAGGGAAGACGAGAGATAGACGGAGATGTGAGGATGAGAACTGCCATGGCCGACACGGATGTCCTGCCTCAAGAATTCCATATTCCGAAATGGAATTCTTCTGAACGCAGTCAGAGTGACCTCGCCCCCCAAACTCAATATCAACCCGGAAAGTATTCGCAGATTTGGAAAGGGTGGCAGATGCTAGGTATCTGGCATGGATTGGCTTCACGATTGAGTACACAGTCACTAAATGACATGAATTGGGTTCACGATTGAACACATAAGACTAAAAGTGTAGCACTCTTTAGATCAAAAGATGGATACTTGCAACAATTGGATTAAAGAGTTCGTCATCGACCCTTATCATGGATGGTATATCGTGAACAAGGCAGAGCATGTACGCCGTCGGAATCGAAGCTGATACCCATACATGTATAGAAGCAATTCGCTGAACAGAGTCTCATATCACATGTGTCATTACTCGTGGGAACTAATATCAAGCATTTCTCGACCTGGAGCAGGCTGTTGCAGTGAAACGAAGCTGTAGCAGTCGCAAGGAATCACCAGATAGCCTCCTGGATGTTGCACAAAAGATAGAACAGCCGCGTACTCCATTCTTGTTGGATATCAAGCTCAAAAACGAGGCAATCACAGGATGATCATTTGGCAAAAAGCGGCCACGCTTTTGCAGGGCATGATGAAGTCATATCAATGACTGACAGCCAAGCAGTCAGGCGATTAGCAGGCCCATTCGGTTGTGTGACCGTGATAAATAATGTACGCAGTAACGACAGGAATATTGCCATATTGTGGGCAAATTTCAGGTATGGAGGAGCGGAGCTTTGCAAAGACCTGGAGTTGCATCATCACGAAGACATGCAACGTGAGGGTGTACACATTTGCCATTGGCATGTCCTTCGTATGTGCCATGCATGGGGCCATGCGTATTTCTTCCCTTTCTTCCCTCACCTTTCCCTTGTTTTCTCCTTCGTCATTCGTTGTATCCAAAGCGAGTGAGACATGCATCGACAGCTCCAACGTCGCGGCAGCATCCCCGGCGGCCACTTGCTTGCCCACGTCAAGTCAGAGAGGGATCATCGGCTTTAAGGAGCCTCACCGGTCACTTTTGCCGCAGCAGCTATTCGCCAAAGCCCGCCCATGACCTGGCTGCAGGCTGCATGTTACATTGGATAGGACATGGCCAGCTGGACAGTCTTTCCATCAAAAGGGAGCCGAGGCGGGGGGGCTTGGAGGCTCTGTTTGATGCGGTGATTGGGAGAGTCTGATATGCAAGGGAGGGAGGATGCTGCACTACCAATTCGAAAGCTCTGAATGAGGGGAGGGAGGGGAGGGGTGAGAAAGGGTCCCGCAAGTCCAAATTTTCCCTGTGGATGGATGGATGGATGGACGGCGACATGAGGACAGACGGTGGGAAAGGAGCTGCGATGTCGAAGCGGCATGAGGAGCTTCGTCGCTTTTATTATGTGCTTTCTCTTGCGTGAGGTTGCGTCTGATCTTGGACCAGCAGAAGCGGCACCAGCCGAGATGAAGCACATGCGTCCAGGGCTGCTTAGATGACGGCAGCGTCCACGACCCAGTTCCGCTCATCATCCCCCGTAATAGGTAGAGAAGAGAATCCAAGGAGCGGTCTCGAACGAAAGCCTGATGCAACTCCAGATCTGCAAAGGCAGGTTAGGCAGCGTGGGTGTGTGCCTTGGCCTAGATAGGTTTCCATCACTTTCCGTCTTCATGCGGCTAGCAACTGAATCCAATGCAGCGAAGCGAGGCGGTGGGCTTGATATCTGAACAAACCAGTCGTTTCCTCTGCGCATCCGTCGCATAGAAGTACATGTAGTAAGGCGGCACATACCCGACTGACACATGCAAAGGGCTGCTGCAATTACACCTTTGTTGTCGCAGCCGCAATGTGGCTGTTAGTCAGTCTGTACAACGTGAGCTTGAAGTTGTCCAGTCGCGTAACTCTGACAAGAAAACGTGTGTCAGCAACGTGCCTTGATGCATGACGGAGGATTGCGGCTGCGACTGGTGGCTGGCCGCTTTCAGGGCTGATTGGGAGAAACGCCCCCCCCCCCTAATGATGCGGAACGATGCGAGGGAGGAGAGATTTGCTCTTTGAGGTTGTCCCAAGGCGCGAGTCAGGTTCAGGTGGTTGCCTCAGTGCTCGGGCATGGCCAAAAGGAGGCCTTTTGAGCTTGCAGGCTGCGTGTGAAGATGCAAGTCGGCGCAAATTGAACGCATGATGCTCTGAGTGAGTACATGTAGTAGGCAGTTCAGTAAGGGCTACAGCCTACCCGCAGAAATGGCATCCATCTATTGTACGGCCAATCTAACGGTTCCTGGGCCGATTCCCCGGGTCCATGTTAGGTGCTTGACAGGAATACCCAGTACTATTAGCGACACCCGGCTTGATCCTGGGCTCTGAATTTTAACTCTACAGGATGAGGGTGAATAGGTCCGAAGAATTGCGGCAACGGTCAAGGAGTTTTGAACATCTGTTCTGAGCAGAGAGATTGAAAGATTCTCCGCGTGGCCCAGGAAATTTGGCCGTCAAGGATCTCAGTGGACAGGCAAATCTTGGCGGCAGGGGATCAAGAAAAGAACATGAACAGAACCAAGTGAGGAGTCAGTGAGGGAGGGGGCTCTTTTCAGGTACGTGTAACCGCTTTGCGCGTATAAACGGGCACTTTGAACACGGAGAATGAAAGACTTGATCAATTCGCCGATAGGGTATGGCTTATACATGTGAAGTATTCGGAATACAAGGTGGAAAGTGATAGAGAGGGCAGGGGTTTCTGGAGTAGTTCTCCAGAATGAGATTCAACATGCGCTCCAGCCAAATACCAACAGACTTTGACGACTCGCAAAAACGCACGGCCTAACGTCCTGAGACAAGCACGCTTCAGAAATGCAGGGCGCCCGAGCCTTGCATCATGGTGCTCCGATTCTTGCCATTACAAACCTTACCAGAGAGGGCGACGTGTTGTTCATTTCGAGGTCCTTGTTGCTGATGGCAATCCGTTCATTCACCAATCCATCCATATCCCGGGTACCCGTAGTTTCTCGATTGTACCTTACATGAGTGAGATGGGGTATTTACTGTACGCAATGACAGCAAATTTTGGGTGACAGGGGCCTACGCAGGCCGGGTACAGTACAAGCAAATGAGATGAGATGAGCCAGGAGTCGGCAGGGACCGTGTGGAACTTTTTCTTGCCCTTCTTTTTTCCTTCTTTTTTCCTTGTGATCATCCAGCCGTCATCGTCGGATAAGTGAGAGATTACTAATTGTACTGAGATGGTTACTCGTACGGGTTACCCAAGACGTCTTGAAGCTCCCGTCAAGTTTGGTGTTTTACCCGGCGCCCAAACGCTCCTCAAAGGGAAGAGGTGCGAGACACAACAGGTACACATGTATGTATGAGACAATACAAGACATGACAAGACAAGACAAGGCAACATGAAGACAGCCAACGGCTTTCGTAGGGCTGCGTCGAGGGGCCAACGAGCACCTTTGATGTTTGTTTTGATTCCCTTGTCCTGCGTTCTGTCACAATGCATGCAACATAGGTACAGATAGGTAACATTGATCAGTGAGTAATCTTGCATTGACGGCTAATAAACAGGACAGTCCCCAGATCGACCCCAATACCGAGGATGAAGAGCTGCTCGCATGTCCATCCTATTGCAGCGATGACGCAGCTGACGCGGGAGCGCCAATCGGCCGAAGCTGAACTTTGACGACGCATGAGCTAGTATCAGGATTTGAGAGTGAGATCAGGCGGAGAATTCCGTCTCCCAAAACGTGGTCTTGCTGCGTAACCTGCTGCTTGTGATGGAATGCTGGTGAGACGCCCATGTGCCGAGGTTTGACGAAGTGGCACGGACGGAGTAAAATTCAGCGTGCATGTAGGTACATGTAAGGTGTTCAGTTTGCGCCATGGATTATACCTACCTAACGATAGCAATGAGTCGACCGTTTGCCATCCGGATAAATCTTTTCAAGCCAAGAATGAGTTGATTCAGTCGCTTGATCAATGGGAAACCAGAGAAAAAGCCATCTTGCAACACTGTTTCCCCCCTTGTTCAGCCTGGTTGACTCGTTCTCCATATCCCGTGGCTTCCGCCTTCGTATTCCAATTAGCCCACCCAACGCTACAGTACAACTCCCTTCCAAGAAAAAAAAAAGGGCAGAAAATGCCGATTGTCAAGGCCAAGCAAAAGCTGTATGTAATACTACGGCTCCCACTGCGCCGGCCCCCTGGCTAGCAGCACAGCTAGCAGTTATGGTTAGGCATAGCATCGAATAGCACGGCGGCCCCAATGCAGGTCCCAGCTCGAGGGCTCCATGTCCATCCATGGATGTTCATGCCTTGGCTGCTTGCTAGCCAGGATCTGCCAGAAGGGCCGCGGCGGTCGGATGGCCGGGATGGAGGGGGCCGAAGCGCTAGTAGTTGAGAGCTTACAGGCACAGGCACAGGCACAGGCACAGGCACAGGCACAGGTACAGGCACCAGCGGCTATTCATGCACGCGCCGCACAGTTGCATTTTTGGGGCTGGGTTCTTCCTGTTTGCTGGCGTTCCAATCTTCTGTGCCTTCTTTTTCGTGGCCGGGGTAAAGGGGAGGGGGGAGAGGGGACCACCGTTTTTTTTTCTCGACTGGGGCCGGGGCTGCCGGGGTCATCTCGTGGCCTCTGTCCAGGGGATGATGGAGTTGATGTCGCCTCTGGTCCAAGTGAGCCTCAGGTCAATGTCGTCTGTGTGCGAAATGGCTCGAGGTGCAGCATTGACTCGGGCAGCCAGCCTGATGTCGAGTCGGGTCTGGTGGTACAGGCGAGAGCTCCAGGCGTTCGACGACTCGCTTCAGTGCTGAGCAACCCGCCAGCAGCAGAAATTACCGCCTGTGCTGTGGTGCTGTAGCGACCTGTAGCGGCCGGCAGCAGCGACCCCGGCCTCTCCCCCTCCCTGAGGAGCCCCGGAGCTGCTGTAGGGAGCCGCCATCCACCACCACCACCACCACCAGCATTAGATGGAGATGGATGCATGTGGCGGCGTTCCTTTTTCTCATCAGCGAATGAAGGGCGGCGGCGATATTGCACTCCAGCTCGCAATCACACATACTGCCTGCAGCCCGACCCCCTCTTAAGCAAATAGCCAGCGCCTCTGGCTGAGAACCTGCGTCTCCCTCTCTTCTCTCCCTCTCTCCCTCGTCCTCTGCGTCTTGCAAACCCTCAGTCGACTGCCATCGCCGTGCGAGGCGCTGCGGACGCTGTCGGGCGAACCTGGAGTTGGAAGCCTCCTGAGCCCTTGCTGCTGACCTGACGGATTCCTGACAGCGGGCTCCTTACCAGCAAGAACCCGCTGCCGTTCCCAATTTTTTCCTTCTTTTCCACTCGTCCTCGGCCGGGGTTGTAGAATTTCGATGACGGTGGCGTCCGTCACCCCTGCAGCCTGCACTGGACGCTCGCCCAACGCCGACAAACGACGAGCAGTACCAGCACCGGCACCCGCCACAACACCAGCCGTTTCCTCACCAAGGAGCTGCTGGGCTGCGTCCAGTCTCTAGGCGGTATTCTGCCTGCACCAACAAGCGTGCTGTAAGGACTTTTTCCCATCTGGCCCTGTTTCTGATTCCGATCCTCCTGCTGCGTGGGAAACGGGGTGTTTCTGCCTCAGACGCGCTGAGGTCGCTGCTCTTCCTGTCTGGTGTGTACAGAGCACCTGAGCTGCTAGGTAGTAGCAGGTTGTCCGCTACCGCTCTTTTATCCGGTATCCGGGGGGGAAGCTCCAGCTGGGCAAACCGCCTCGTTGATCGATCCTTTCTCTTGTCGACCAGTGGGGATCGACTTTTATGCCAGTGACAGCTCCAGATTCACGCACTCGATCCCTTTTTAACCAACTGCTGCATGCATCTCAGCCCCGAAATCCTGCGCCTTTGACCTGTCGGCTGCGCTCAGCTGCAAGCTCTTCTGAGACTAGCTACCGAAGTGCAGTAGGTAAGCTGGTGCATCTGCAGCTGGAGCCGAAAAGGGCACCCTCTTCTCCAACTCCCAACTTCCGCGACCTCCAACATTCCGTAAAGGACTCCCCCGACTTGCGTGCGACGGGCGGCAATGGCACGGGGCGGCGCCCTCTTCAACCCCAGTATTGACCATCTCGAACCTCGAGTGTCGCTGTCGAGGCGGCCTGGCGTCGGATCTGGCCCTGCGCGCAGTGTCGCTCTCGGCATCACCCACAGGAAGAAGACGGCCTCACGTGCTTCCGGCCGTTCGTCGAGCCCGGCATCAGCCTCGAGCCGTCGCTGCTGGGCTCCCAGGACTCGGACGACGACCACAAGGACGGGTCAGGCATGAACTCGATGACCGTCTCGCACGCCGGCGGCGGGCACGGCCGCCAGCAGAGCATCACCAAGCCGTCGCCGCTCTACGCATCCCGCATGAAATCTCCTCCTCCGCCTCTCACCTCGCTGCCCGCCAGCGCCAGCAGCGACCGCCAACGACCGCCGCAGCTTTCTCCTATGCCCATTTCTCCCCGATGGGACTCGCTCGCAAACGGCCCCCGCATGCTGCTGCAGAGCCCAATGTCGCCGCTGCCGCCGCGGTCGCCCTCGCAGAATAGCTGGTACGACCGCTACGGCCAGCTTGACGAGGCATCGTCGCCACACCACCAGCCACAGCAGCTCGCGGCCGGCCTGCAGGAGCACCAGCACCAGCACCAGCACCAGCAGCATCACCAGCTTCAGTTTCACGCTGCGACGACGACGTCGATGCCCGCGCGGGACATGGCCACCGCCAGAGGACGGCTGCCCGCGCCTCTGCAGCTCGACTCGTCAGGCGGCGCCCTGATGACAAAGTCCATGCGTGCCCACGCACCCGGGCGCACGCCAGAGACCCCTGCCGTCGAGAACTTTTCTAGACCCCGGAAGCAAAGTATTAGGTCGCCCCCTGTCGGCGGCCCAGGTAACCTCCGGCTGGCCTCCCTCCCTCCCTCGGATCGCATCCCGGAGATGACCAGCGTTTCACCTGCCTCCACGCCCTCCTGGCAGCGCCCCCGACGTCCCTCTGTCTCCTCAAAATCCTCACTCTCCTATGCCGTCTCTCCATCCTTTCCCCCTACTGCCGAATATCTCGAATCGAGTCGCTCGTCCAGAAGCACGTCTGCACAACCTCCAATCGCCGGCCATCGTCCCCAGCTGGGCCATCCCAATCGCATTGACAGCCCGGTCAGCGTTGCCGCGCCCGGTGGGCCAGCTCCTTGGATGAGCGACGACGAACTGCGATCCAGCTACAGGTCCCAGCTTACATCATCGTCTGCCTTTGGCACCGCCCTCACCGAGCGCAGCAGCGTCCTGACCAAGGACAGCTCCGTCCTGTCCGTCTACGGAAACGAGGTCGACGCACAAGCAGACGCACCCGCTGAAGCTGACGCAGACGCTGACCCTGACGCCGACGAACCGAGCTTGGAAGATGTTATGGGCATGTACGAGAGAGGCTTCTGTGACGACGACGACGACTACGACTACCACAACAACAACAACACTAACCAAAACGACTACTTTGAACCCCCTCGCAGCACCCGCAATTCCCAAGACGACTACTATCACCACCGCCACCAACCCTCATACGATCACCACCACTACCCATACGACGACCAGTATTATACTGGCTACGGCCCTGCCCCATACGACTCTTATCCCCACGAATTGCAGTTAGAAGCAGAGCAGCCAGAGCCAGAGCACCAGCAGGAGTACCCACAAGAGTGCAAGGAGGAGCAGGAGCAGGAGCAGGAGCAGGAGCTTGAGCAGGAGCGCCAACAGGAGCCTGAACAGGACCTGAAGCAGGAGCACGGACAGGAGCACGGACACGGCGTCGAGCACAGACACACGCCGCTGCCAACTCATGAGGAGGAGGCAACAGAAGAAGACTGCGCCGAGACCGAAACCGACCCCGTTCCTGACAACATGATTAGCGTCATGCACCGCCCTGTGACCTCGAGGTCCGAGCCGGGCCCTGAGCGCATTCACAGCGACGACTTCAGTGCCGACCCGGTGCCCCCGGTGCCGGCGACCCATTCCGCGCTGGACATGGAGATTCGGCAGTCCAAGATGCTCTTCTCCAGCACAGCCTTCACGTCCACCGTGCCCGCCCTCACCCATGACCATGACCTCGACCACGACCCCGAACACGACCTGGAGTTTCCGGAGAAGCGCGACTCGTCCAGGACCGTTGAGTCGAACCCCTCGGTAGAGTCGGACGGCCTCCGCACCGACGCGAGAGGCACCACGCCCAGCCCGAGTCCGTCGCGCATCTCGCCGCCCTCGATGCCCGAGTCCCGATCGGTATCCCCTTCGCCATCCGTGCAGCTCCCTGTGCCCAAGCCCGAGGAGCCGGGCTCGCGCGATCGGTACGGCTTCAAGAAGGAGAACCAGTTCATCACCCGGCAGCAGTACGATGCCTGGGACAAGGTCTACTCTCAGTATCTCGCCCGCCGCCGCAAGAAGTGGACGGCCTACCTCAAGGACAGCGCCCTGATGACGGACCGCCCCCAGCGCTTCCCGGCACCCAACGCCAAGACGAAGCGCTTTGTACGCAAGGGCATCCCGCCCGACTGGCGCGGCGCCGCGTGGTTCTACTACGCCGGCGGACCGGCCATTTTGGCCAAGCACGGGGGTCTCTACGACAAGCTGCTGCTGAGACAAGCCAAGCACGTCGACATTGAGGCCATTGAGCGAGACCTGCACCGGACGTTTCCCGACAACATCCAGTTCAAGCCTTCCCAGGCCACCGCGGATATGCTCGATTCCACGACCAGCAGTGAGCGGGCGAGCCAGTCCACGGTGAGGGGAGCAGCCCTCGACGGCAGCGGACCCGGCCCCGTCGGCTTGGAGGGCGAGCCGCCGCTGATTGCCTCTCTGCGCCGCGTTCTGCTGGCGTTTGCCGTCTACAACCCCCGCATCGGATACTGCCAGAGCCTCAACTTCATCGCCGGCCTCCTGCTCCTGTTTGTCGACACGGAGGAACAGGCTTTCTGGCTGCTCAACGTCATTACGCACATTTACCTTCCCGGCACGCACGAGATGAGCCTGGAAGGCTCCAAGGTGGACCTGGGCGTGCTGATGACGGAAATCCGCGACACCATGCCTGCTGTGTGGGATAAGATTGGAGGAGAGCTGGACAACAGCGACCCGCAAGCGAGACCTATGACGAGCAAGTCGGTCCGGAACCCTCTGACGCCTCGGCTCAAGAAAAAGGACACTCACCTTGCGCTGTCGTCTGAACGGCTCCCTCCCATCACCCTGTGCATGACGGCGTGGTTCATGAGCTGCTACATTGGCACCCTCCCCATCGAGACGACGCTGCGTGTCTGGGACGTCTTCTTCTACGAGGGATCCAAGACGCTGTTCCGAGTTGCCCTGGCCATCTTCAAGCTGGGTGAGGCCGAGATCAAGGCGATTGGGGACCCGATGGAGATGTTTGGCGTGGTGCAGTCGATGCCCCGCAAGATGCTCGACGCGAACAAGGTGCTGGAGACGTGCTTCAAGCGGCGCAACGGCTTCAACCATCTGAGCCAGGAGGTGATTGAGGAGCGCCGGCAGGAAAGACGCGACAAGGCGCAGCAGGATCTCCTCCTGCGATCGCGCAGTAAAGCTGCGACTGCTCCTGGGGCTAGCACCAGCAAGGAGGCTGACGGGGAGCGAAAGGGCGGCAGCCTGTTTGGGCTGATGAAATAACCACTTAATACCGACAGGGGAAGGTTGGCTTGTTGCATTGATACCACTTGTGTCTATTCACTGTTTTTTTTCTTCTTCTTTCTTCTTCTTCTTCTTCCTCTTCTTCTTCTTCTTCCTCCTCCTATTCACTCCTCTCATACATTATAATCCTCGATCTTCTCATTTCGATTCATAGCACGGCAGGCGTTTGAGGGAGATGCCAGGAGTGGCCTTGGAGAACGGCCACGATGCATCTGCATGAAGCATTAGCATTGCGTTTACCTCTTCTTTTCACCCTTCTCTTCAACCTCTCCGACTTGTACCTTCTCCTTTGTTCCTCTACCTACTTTGACACACTTTTGCTCTTCTTCTTCTTCATACCACTTTGATCTTCATACGGGGTGCGCGGGCCATATACAGGCGCCCCCCTTGTTTCAAATACCATGACGACGGTTACGGCTGCAACCTGTGGCAGGTCCCTTGTTAGAGGAACTAGAGACAGATGCCTGTTGCAAGAATACGAGAAAGAAAAAAAGAACTAGGGGTGCCTTTGGCCAGAGGAGACGAAAGGGGGGATTGACTCTCATTTCTCACCTCTTTTTTCTTTTTTTCATCTCGGTTACCTTTTCTTTTGACCCTCTGTTTTCTACATCTTGTGGCTGCGCAGCATAGAAGGATGGGAATGTACAAAAATTTTCTGTTTTCTTTTTTTTTCTCGTCACTGTTTTGAGAATCTGGATAGACTAGGACACACAAAATCTGGGGTGGGAAGAGGGAGTAATTGGTAACCCCCCCACTGGCGTGGCGAGGATGTATTCTCCTATCCACGGCCAATGATGAATTTCTGAAACGAAGATTTGATCTACAGCGTTGCGCGTGAGTGACTGTATCGTAGGTTGTTGTTGGGAGTTGTAGCTGAAGGCTTGGTGGAGGCTTTGGTAGGTGTCGTTTGTGTGCTCTTGAGAGGTCTGTATCCAGCTATTCTTGCATACCTAGCAGGAAGAAACAGTGATGGGGACAGCAGTAAAGATGAAGCAGCCTTGTTTTTGGTTTGTTCTGTTCTTGAGCATAAATACAAATTGATGGAACTCCATGTTCTGTCATGTGGAATTGACCAACCGGTGCTACCGTGATCTCGCCATGCCGCTCTTTTCTCTCAATCTGACGGGGCATTTATCGTGCGCGCTCCAGGCCATCTTGCAAGCCTTGATCACCAACTTGATGGAAACTGTCCAGGATAACTTCATCAAACCATGCTGCTGCTCCTGTGTGGGCATCCCCACCAGGACGAATGCCGATTTCAAATGAGGATCCGTCGGCTCGCAAACACAGACCAAACATCTCTTCCAACTTCACACTTGTACACCCCTCCTATGCATAACAACAATATGATGGACAATGAGAAGAGAAAAAGTAGAAGAAGAAGCATGTGATGGTGATAGTAGTAATAGTAGAAGAAGAAGAAGATGACGATGATGGTGATGACATATATATGTATATATATACATCTACGACGCCGGGAAAACGGGCTCCTCCAAAGCAAAGCGATTGACAAGCTCCCTAGCCTTGGCCTCCCACGCGGGCCTATCGTTGCGGTACTCGTCCGCGATCCTCTCCTCGAGCGGGTCGTCGGGCTGGGGCTCAATCATGAGGTTCCGGAGGGCCTCGAGGACGGCGGCGATCTTTGTGCTGGGCTTCCAGTTCTCGGGCTTGAGGATGCCGAGGCAGACGTTGCCGAGGGAGTCGTTTGTGACGTTTGGGTGGTAGAGGCGGGTGATGAACTTGACGACGGGGGGCTTGAAGGGGTAGTCTGTGGGCAGGGTGAGGATGATGCCGAAGCGGCCTGGGTGGAAGGGCGACGAGGGGGGCGGGGTGAGGACGATGTGCCATGTGTGGAGGGAGGCGGAGGGGGGCAGGGTGATGGTGAAGCCTTCGGGGGGGTTTTGGGAGACTTCGGCGAATTCCTGGGGAGAGAGAGAGAGAGTGATTGTTAGCGGGTTTGGGCGTGTGTGTGTGTGTGTGTGGTGGTGGTGATGGGGAGGAGGAGAGAGAGGTTTTACCTTGGAGATGCGTTTGGTGGACATTGTGGGTGTTTTGGTCTCGATGCCTGGGTCGCGAAGGTACTGTTTGTTTGAAAGGAGACCGTGGATTTCGAGGGCTATTCCGTCGAGATGCTTGCTTCTTGTTGTTGTTGTTGTTGTTGTTTCGCTCGCTCGCTCGTATCGTGAATTGTCAAAACGGTCGTGACGTCGATGAAGAAAGGACTGTCTCGGATAACAGAGATATCCGCAGTTCTGGCTAGACGGAGAGAAAACACAACAGTCTGCGCGGGACAAAGTAAAAAAAAAAGAACAGTTCTCGGGTTTTGTGTTTCTGTCGATAAAGTCGGCTTGGGGGGGATGGAGGAATCGTGTGTTTGGGTTGGTGTTTGTTGCGGGTTCGAGCTTTCTGCTGTGTGACTCTTTTGGCTGACGGCCATGACGGATGTGGGGGTTGTGACGAGCTCGAAGCTTTCAGGTACCGAGTACGTACCGATTGGCGGGGCAGATGGTGGAAGGAGCATGGAAGCGTGAGGAGAAGACACAGAGATGAGATGCTGGAGGATTAGGTAATGTAGATGCTTTTACGCAGGTTGTTCCAAGAAGAAAAGAAAAAAAAAGAAGAAAGAAGAAAGAAGAAAGAAAAGAAAAGGCAAGCTGAGAGTGTAATCTCGTCGAGGTGTAGAATCTGGGGGTATCTCATGTTCTACTATCATGACGGGTTAACCATTCATGTCACAGTCCGGTCGATACAAGACATCAAGGTACCTACTATATGTACTACCATCTCGGTCAGCCAAGCTCAGTGGAGCCTCTACTCACCGCTCACCGACGCTCACCTTGATTTTTTCCAAACCATCAAAATTTACATACTCTCTTCTTTGCACCAAGCGCCCATCCACTGCCAACCTCCATACACAGCCTTTGCCTCTTCCACAACACATCAGATCGCTCAATCTCGACAATTGGACATACAAAGACACACACATACGATTCCCAACACTCATCCCCTCCCATCTCACCACAAAAAATGGCCGCCGACGCCGTCTCAGCGCAACAAGCGCAGCAAATGCCCTTTATCAAGAACCTCGCCTCAAGCGGTCCGTCCCTTCTCCTCCCCCTTCTTCCCTCAAAAAAATGATATCAAAGCTAACAAGAAATTCTCCCCTCATCAGACCGCAAACTCCGCGTCGAATCCCTCTCCTCCCTGCAGTCCTTCCTCTCCTCCCGCACGAGCCTCACCCCCCTCGACGCGCGCAAGCTCTGGACAGGCCTCTACTACGCCCTCTGGATGACGGATCGTCCTCGTCCGCAACAGGCGCTGGCGTCGGACCTGGCGAATCTCGTGCACGATCTGCAGGACGCCTGCGTCGAGACGTGGCTTGCTGCGTTTTGGAGCGTTTTGGGGACGCAGTGGCCGCATATCGAGGCCCTGCGGCTGGACAAGTTCCTGCTGCTGGTGAGGAGGGTGTTTGCGGCGCAGGTGAGGGTTGTCAAGCAGAGGGGGTACAAGGGCGGTGATGATGTTGTGGAGGGTGTTAAGAGGGTGCTTGCGGGCTGGTGTTTTGATAAGGAGGATGAGCAGCGGGTTGCGTTGGGGCTGAGGCTGCATGTGCTCGATGTGTGGGTCGATGAGCTGGAGAGGGAGGGCGCGCTGGGGGATGATGATGAGGATGCGAGGGCGTTTGTCGAGTTTGTGGGCGGACTGGTGGAGGGATTGAAGAGGTGTCCTGTGAAGTCGGTGAGGCAGCGCGCCGGGGAGAGTCATGACGATGAGAGGCTGCCTTGGGTGGAGAAGAAGGAGGGTGAGGAGGACGAGGACGAGGATGAGGAGGTGGGTGGTGAGGATGATGGTGAATGGGGTGGGATTGAGAATTAGGGGGTTTGAGATGCTTTGCTTTTGTTGGGGGGGGGGGGGGGGGGGGGTGAGGATACCATGTGGTGGAAGAAGAGGAGTATGGCGTTAAGAGATTCGTTGCATATGTTGAAATTTATACATCTTGAAAGCATAGAAGTTATATACAAGGGAAGCAAGACTCCATGTTTAGCAATGCTGTGAAAAGACGACAAGGATCCTTCTGCTGTCTTGTCTTGTCTTGTCTTGGCCCTTTAAAGGAGGCAAGATTTATATTCAACCGCCTTTCCACCCACCAACCCAACCGCCCAAACCAAGCACATTACACATTATGCTCCCATACTCCTGTTCGCAATCATCCCAACTCCTCATCATTACATCGTTAGAAGCAGCGACTATGAAAATATACGAAACGGAAGAGTAAACAGAAAGACGGGCAAAACAAAAAGACCCGCCTCCACCATGAGAACAGAGTAACCCTCCAGATCATCATCGCCATCACCGCCACCCCTTAATCTTCACCCAGCCCTGCTCCTGCTCCCCCTCTTCCTCGTCCCCCGCCACAGGAATAGGCTTGGGCATCTCCTCTTCGACCGTCGTCGATCTCTTTTCCTTCTTCTGGCTGGCCCGCTCCTTGGCGAGCCGCGCTGCGCGCCACTCGTCCCATTTCGCCTTGTCCTCCGGTCGCGGCGCCTTGGGAGAGGCAACGAGGCCCTTCTTACGCAGACGGCGCCTGTGTCGTCGCTTCTGCTCGGGGGAGAGTGCTTCCATGTCCACGTCGGTGATGCTGCGTCTTAGGACTAGGTCTTGGATGTCGGCGAACACATCGTACGCTTCCTCGTATGCGACGGATGCGAGTTGACGTCCCGATCCGCCAGTGATCCACTGGTCGAGCTTGATCGGCAGGGCGGTGCCAAACTCTGTGGGATCGTCAAAGGACCAGACGCAGGGAGCCTTCGAGGCAGGACACGAAGTCGGGCGGCAGTAGAGCGAGCACATGGTGGCCTCGGTAGCGTACCATACCGAGAGTATCAGCGTAAGGAGACCAAGCCAGGTGAGGCGAAACGTCGGTTCGCGGTGGAAGAGTCGCGGCAGGGCGAGATGCAGATACGTGACGGGGGCTGAGGCCGAGGCAGGTTTCGACGACGCGCAGTACGGGCAGTCTGCCGCGACGCTTTCGTGACTGTGATGCGCGTGGCCTTCGGGCGCCTCGGTCAGTGCCGCGCTCTTCTTGTCCTTCTCCTTCTCGGGCGTCGGCTGGGCGCGGGAGAAGCGGTCCTCGATGCGCTCGATGCCCTGCTTGGCCGAGCGGATCCGCAAGAGGCCCGTCTGCAGCGTCTTGTTCATCCGCTCGTAGGCGGCAATCTCGCCGTCGGAGCTGGTTCGCTCGGCATCCTTGGCGCGCTCGCTCTTGACCACTGGGGCAGCGTCAGACTCGGAATCAAGGCCAAAGTCGAGATCAAAATCGAGGTCCAGATCGAGGCCCTTGGAACGAGCAGCAGCGGCGCCGCTTTCCGAGACTGCGACCTTGGCCATCTTCCTCGCGTTGGCCAGCATCTCGTCCAGGTCGTCAAACGTCGAATCGTCAATGTTGTACTCGCGGCGCAGCTCCATCAGGTCGTCCTTGACAGAGGGAGGCCTGGCCGAGTTCTTGACGGGCAGCCGGCGTCGAGGCAGCGACTTGGCCCGCGGCTTCTTGACAGCCGCCAGCGCCGACGCGCCAATCTCGCCGCCGTCGTCTGTCGTGCCGGGGTCGGACAGGGTATCCTGATCCTGGTTCCTCTGCTTGCTTCTCCAGGAGGTGAAGCTCGGCTTCCTGTCTCGGAAAAGCAGCGCGTGCTTTGACTCTGTTGTCTTGGTTTCGGCCTGCTTTGGAGCGTCATCTTCCGTCTTTGGCTCCGGTTTCAGCACCAGCTTCTCCGTCTTGACCGACACTGGCGTCTCGACGTAGGCGCCCGTGACCCTCGGTGTCGCCATGGTCAAGGGGTCAGGCTTGGAGGGCTTCGGTGTTGCGTCTGACGGCGGCTGCTTGCTGGGATGCGCATGGTCGTCCTCCAGATCAGAGTCGTCAAGAGGCGGAGACGGCGCGCGCAGAGAGCCGCGTTCGGAGTGGTTGTCCGACGGCGCAAACAGCTTCATCTCGGCCTCGATCCTGGCCGTGGGGTCTGGCTCTGACTGCATGCTGGACCGCTTGCTCTTAGTCGAATCGACGGATCGCGTGCGCTGCAGGCCAGTGAATGCCACGCTGGGCTTTGCCTTTTCAGCCTCCTTGGTGGCGTCGGGAGCGGTGGTGCCGGTATTCGCAAGGGTATTCCAAGCAGTAGTTGTAGTTGTCGCAGTTGTTGGAGCGGTGTTCCAGGTAGTGTTTGGAGCGAGTTTCTCGCCGGTGGAGGCGCGTCGCGGGAACAAGCGAGACGCGATGCGGTCGGCGATTGATTTGCCGGTGGATTCCTTGTTTTCTTTTTCGTCGTCGCCTGGCGGAGGCGTGGGCAGCTGTTTCGCCCGCGGCTCGTCGTCGACTGGCGGGCTGGAGCTGGCGGCCCTTGCCAGCCGTCGCAGCAGCTCGTGCTCGTCGGGCCGTCGTTCCAACGGCCGCCGCTTGCCCAGCAGAGCCTCGATCTGCTGCTCGGCGCTATCGAGTCTCTTCTCCAGCTCTTGGGTCCGCGATGATGCCGCTGCCGCTACCGCACCGCCCTCTGTCTTCTCCTGCTCGCCTGCACGCTTCGGGTCCTGGTTGAAGATTGTCACGGGCTTGTCGACAACCGGCCGGCCAAACTCATTGCTGCCAAAGGACGTCCTCGGACGCAGCAGTGACGGCGGCGGCGGCGGCGCCTCCTCCTTCTTCACCTCCTCGGCCACCTCCGTCTTTGCCAGCCGCCGCCGCGCCAGCCCAAAGGGGAGCCGGTGCTTGGACTCGTCGTCGGGCGAGCGAGGGCGCGCCATGGAGTTTTGCTCTTTAATCTCCTGTAGGCGAACAGCGGCGTACGCGCGCTTCGACATGCCGTCGGCCTCGCGCTGCTTGATGTCGTCAATCTTGGTATTGTTTCTCGGCCCGTCCAAGTGCCTGCTGGGAAGCGGGATCTGGCGCTCCACCTGCGCTTCTCTCTTGAGGATCTCGTCCAGCTTTGTGTTCTGCGGCTTCGGCCGGGTACCCGGGCCTGCGAGGGGAATATGGCTGCCGTTTGCGCGGAGCTCGAGCGATCTGATCTCGTCCAGCTTGCTGTTGCGGGAACCGGGGGCGGTGATTCGCGGTAGCTTGTCAAAGTCCTGCTTTGCGTCGGGGGTGAATCCTAGGCGGCTTGCAAACGGCCGAGTCCCGACCCTAACGCGCGGACTGTCGGAGATTTGCAGATCGCTGCCGGTGAAGTCTTCGTCCATCTGCCAGACGAAGCTCTTGCCGGGGGAGGGAGACGACGGCTGGACGAGCGTTGCTGCGGACAGGGCAGGCTCGACGGACGGCAGCGGAATGTCCTCGATGCCCGGGACGAGCGAGGGAAGCCCGCTGGAGGCCGTGGTCGCGGTAGTGGCGGTGCCCTCTCTGTTGACCCCCGCGTGACCGGCACGCAGGGGGAGGCTGCTGCCCCTGGCTGGCGATACGGCTCCTTCCCTGCCGCTGACGAGCGTTGCGCTGAGGTTGGAGTTGCGCGCCGACGGGATCTTGCTGCGCGCCTTGGTGTCGAGATGGTCGGCGCCGAGCTCGCGCTGCAGCTGCGACACCTCCGAGGCCGTCCGCGTCCTCCAGGGCCGCGGGGCGGGACTGGGCGAGCCGTCGACGGCGACGGGATCGTCCATGCCGGCCTCGAGCATCATCTTGGCCGCCTCCTCCTCGCCCTCGGCCAGCTCCATGGCCTTGCGCAGGGATATGGGCTTGCGGCGCGACTGCGACAGGCTGTTGAGGCGGGGGATCTTGGTGCCGCCGCCGCCGGAGGAGAGCACGCTGGCGCTGTTGGCGTTGCCATTGCCATTGCCGTTGCCGTTGCCGTTGCCGTTGCCGTTGGTGGTCGAGGCGAAGCCCTCGGAGACGGGCCTCGGCTTGCGCAGGCCTGTCGCGTGCGAGTCCGGCATGCCGATGCGCCCGTAGCCCGGCGTCCTGGCCGTGTTGTACAGATGCAGCGGGTTCTCGGCGTTGTCTTCAGGCCGGCCGAAGAGCGGCTTGCGGGCGTCGTGATTGAGCTGGAAGGGCGTGGCTCGCCCGCTGGGCCCGAGGCCGAATGCGTTGTGCATGGCAGTCGCTGGCTACCTACAGCACTTGTGTGACTATTGTGAGGGAAACGAATCGACAGAGTTGGCTGCAGCGGCGAGAAGGCGCATGGTTGTCGCAGCAGAATTCGGGGAGTTGAAGGAGCTTGAGAGTCTTATCGCAGCTGGTGAATCGGAGCTGGTGAGTCGAGGCGGCGCGTCATGGCCTGGTGGCCGGATTTGCGACTCGGTTTCTAGGGTTCGAGGTCTGGGGGAATGTCTGATATCAGGGTACCTTAATTGTAATCGCAACGCCCGGTTGATGCCTTGAACACTGCTTGCTTGAATCGATACGGCGGGCTCTCTGAGAAGCAAGAGGAAAGGGAGAAAAAAAAAAGAAGGTGAAGCGAAGAGGAGGGGAGAGGAGAGGAAAAGTGTCGGAAGGGATTGAAGGTGAGCGCGTCTGGCGACTAGCGGTCGATGCGACAGGGGGGAGGGGGCCATTCTGCGGTCTGGCGGCTTTTGCAGTGCAGTTGCTGGACTTGGGCCCTTTTTCTCTAGGATCTTTTTTTTCTGGGGGACTCGGCATTGTGTGCTGTCGATGGCCCGTGCGCGACTGGGGATGCTTTTGACCTGAGGAGCTTGCAGATGAGGTGTAGATTCAATGTAACCAGCATTGGACATACGAGGAAAAATCAGTTTCATACGGCAGTGTTGTTGAGGAATTCTTGATCAATGCGCAAGGAAGATTGCAGGACGCGTCGCGGCTGTTTGACTGCGCCGAGGAAGCGGCCGTGACCCGGCCCGTGTTCCGCAGATACGACGATGACGGTACTAAGGTATCATGGTTGAGATGGCGTCAAGCTGGAGCGAGCCTCGGTTATCTCGCTTGAACTGAGATGGAGATGAGATTGATCTAGACAGCAAGTCAAACAAGATGTTCGTGAGCTATATGGCAGACACGATAAAATATACGGATGATACAGATTCACATGACTGAAGCAGCAAGCACATTGATGCAGATTTGCTGGGTCATCAGTCGGTGTAGCTCAAATCAGCTCATGCGACAGCAAACTTGCAACAATACCTCGAAAATGGACGAGCATCTTTAGTACATGACGGAAGACGTGATAGGCACTCTTTTTCAATTTTTCCTAGGGACAAATTGTTAGGCATTAGGTAAAGCAATATGTCGCATCAATCGCATGTCCTACCCTTGTTGCCTTGGTATTGACGCCGCCTGCTGACAGATGTGCCTACCTACCACTACAAATACCCTGTATCTCTTCGTTGAAGATGGACCTTCCCTCTTATTAATCTCTCGAAGCCTCTGGCATCTGGCAGGCTCAATTGTTATGCAGTTGAATAGGTACCGTTTGTTTCTCTCTCGTCTTCGTAGTACCAAGCAGCTCGGCTTTGTCCCAGATTCAGACCGTCTTCCCTACTATTTTATCATAACACGGTTACCTCGCTTTGGCACGTCGTCTTCTCTACTGGCAGCTGTCGAGCCTTTGCACATCATCTTCACCGAGTCTATAATTACCAGCCTCTCCAAAAAAGCTTGCTGATGCTTCGTTGCAGCTCAACCATTCATTTGCGAGATGGTTGACCCTGGAAAGTCATACCTGCTCTCGAACGCATCATCTCTCGGTCCTGGGAACTATTTCAGCAAAAACAAACGTGCCCATCAACTCTAGACTTGCCCACAATAGAAGCTTCCGCTTCCATACCCCACTAATTACGGAGAGTACTAATATCTGGCATACCTAGTACGAGCATACGGCGATGCCAGCAATACCTTGGCATGCAACGTCGTCAACACCCCAGCTTGTGCATACAGAATTCGTCCAGAGGCATGTCTAATCGACAACTTACCAGTCCTGTGTTGTCTTGGGCTCCCTTAGGGCAATCCAAGACAATGACGGCTAACCCTGAGAATTGCCAGGCTCTTCCGCCAACGTTACCTACGTCCGTCTTCTTGTACTGACCCGCGGACAACCCCCAGCTGGATGGAAACACGTTCCCATTAACTGGCAACCTACCGTGCCTTATGAACAGTCCGTCAAAAAAGAATATACGTGGCACCAGATTCCACTGAACCTGTGGAGAAGTCAGGATCGGTGATATAAGCTCCGTCGACGGCAGATGCATCTCTGGTGACGCCGCATGAAGGAGGCCACATGCGGGAAGATCCAATTTCGAAAGCTTGGCACCATCAAAGACTGATTCGGAATGTAAATGGCACACAGTATATAATCGACACACGGCTCGCAGATATTCGAGCGATTCTTTGGCCTTGTTCTCTGCTCGAGGTCTGTGTTAGCCGACTGCCGCTGTCAGCGCAGAAGCAGGAGGAAGAGTAAGGCAGGGTCGTCCAGGGATCGCCTCAACAGAGAGGAAGCTTCCAACATCTGGGGGATCCCTTTCGTCTCGGGCCAGCCCCCTTCTCTGGATAGCGCGAGTTGATGAGGGGAATTTGCCCAAGATGCCCTCGCCTCCGGATCCAGCCACGAGACAGCTCTGACAGCTTGTCAAATCATTGTCGGAAATCTATTCCATCCTGGTCACCTTGGCCTGGACCAAGCGGGACAGCAAAGCATAAACAAACCCTTTGGATGGTATTCCAGAGGAGGACGTCTGGTGTCTTGGTCTCGACCTGTTTATTGTTTCGGTTGGGAGGAATCGTCAGCTCTGTTGGGAGAGAAGCAGGCAGATGACAAGGCAGCTCGTCCAGCAACAGTCTCTGCTTGGGTTAACTGCCGTGGCGTTGTTGGTGGTGAACAAGACTTTGCGCTGAACACCGCAGTACCGCGTCCGATTCAGTTGTACTTGTGCAGAGGATCAAGTTTCTCTTTTTGAATATCGATTTCTTCAATGACAATGGAATCGCTGTTCCTTCATGTTGTCTGTGGTGTGTCCTGTACTGCGCCGGATCAAGTCGACGCCAACCTAAGGTACCTAATTTCAAGCCATGGAAATAGTACACCACCAAGTCAGCTTGTCCGCAGCCAATGGGACGGCCTCTCGGACACCACAATTGTCCCGTTTTAGCATTGTTGTGTTGGTGACGAGGAAGCCTCAAAAGCCTTTCTTGAACGGCGCCTATGGTTATCGATTGGAACTTGTCCCGATGCGTTGAAGATGTCGGTCTGTGTCTCCTGTTATTATAAGCATAGAGGCTGTCGCCATTGATGTCAGCCACGTCTGTACATGGTGGCATTGTCTCGTTTGATAGCAACGCCATTCAATGCTCTCTCGCCATGTTACCAACCGTTTACTCTCTAATTCAGTTCAGTTCCCTTTTAGTATTATCATTCCATAATGACTTGAGCCTGGATACGGTACTCGGCACCAACTGACTCGACTCGGCTTCTAGTGCACCTTGGCATAACGGATTCCCGCTCCATCTGACAGCTGCCTCACCGGTAATTATCACATGTCCGATCCGCGCACACTTACGTGTCCAAGGTAAGGTACAGTATCCTCGCCAGGCCTCCAACGCAGCAAGCCAAACCTCTCTAGCCCCAAAAGGCACTCAAAATGAACCCTTGAATACATGTACATTGCCCTCCAAAGGCTTAACGCTGTTTCACCTTGGATTCAAGCCCGGTGGATATCATTACTACAGGAAACGAGGACCGAGGATTAGCCTCTGGTTTCTCATGTTGTTAGTCGGATCCAATGCCGAAGACTTTTTGGAGGCGAGCCAATGGACGAATACGCCCTTAATACGCCCTTGAGGCATCGATTCCTTTTCCTTACTCAGGCAGCATATGCAGGGTCGGATAGAGTATAGTAGCTGGTGCTATATATTGATCTATTATATCATTCGTCTTCCTCTCCCAACCTCACTCATTTATATCTCTTGATTCGCCTTGTCGTCCATCTGGTCATCAATCGATCTTGTTTGTAAGACGATTCCTGGCAGAAGCAATTGACTGCGGCACTCATCATCATCACCACCACAAGAGCGTCAAACCACCAAGAACTCAATCGCGGCCTCTCACCGGCAAGCCTCTCATCTAATTCACATTCCTTCATCAATTGCTTCACCAATTCCACGGTCATCACCAAGTCAATTCCTCGCAATGACCACCACGGCCCCCCATCTCCTCCGCAAACTCGGCGACATGTAAGCCCTCCTCCTCCTCATCATCATCATGATCATCATCACCACTAACACCAACCAACCAAGCGAGCACTTCTCCTCCTCCCGCCACCACCTCGGCATCTACCGCTGCGTCACCGTCACCGCCCGCCACCAGCACCCTCCATCCTCCTCCTCCTCCTCCTCCTCTTCTCCATCTCACCTCGCCTCAACCTCCCTCAGCCCAGCCTTTCTCGCGGCCTTGTCCCACGTCGTCCGCCACCAGCCCATGCTCCGCGTCGGTATCGCAGCAGACGACTCCAACGACGCCCACTTCACGCACATTCCCTCCATCGACCTCCGGAACCACGTCTCCGTGACTCTTGTCCCCTGCCAGTCCGCGCAGGAATACGAAGACAGGGTCGCTCAGCAGCAAGGATGGGAGCACGACCAGAAGTTTGCCAATATAGCGGAGCGTCCGCCCTGGAGAATCTCCATCTTGCGGCCGAGCAGCGACGTCCCTGAGCTGCAAGGCATCGAAGACGTCTTCTTTGCGTTTCATCATTCCATCATGGACGGCACCAGCGGGCGTCTCTTCCACGAGATGCTCCTCGCTGCGCCGTCATACCAACAGCGCCCAACGACAGCCGCCGAAGAAGAAGCAGCAGCAGCAGCAGCAGCAGCAGCAGAAGAAGAAGAAGAAGAGGAATTCATCCTCTCCTTTCCGGATCCCCCCTCGCTGCCCGAATCCCAAGAACAAGGCGTCGACTTCACCCTCTCGTGGAGCTACACCCTACGCACCCTCTGGACCGAACTCGGCCCCTCGTTCCTCAAGCCCGCCAAGCAGCCCATCTGGAACGCCATCCCCATCGACCTCTCCCTGCCGTACAGAACCCGCGTCAAGACAATCGACTACTCCCCCGAGCAGCTCTCGCAGTTACTCTCCGCATGCAGAAGCCGCTCCGTGACGCTCACCGCGCTGCTGCACTCCCTCGTCTTGACGTCCCTCGCGAAACGCATCCCCTCCCCGGAAGCAGCGCCGGCCTTTGCCGCCGCGACACCGCTCTCCATGAGGCCGTTCTTGTCCCCCGCCAAGAGCGATCCGGCACATGCTTCTTCGCTGCGCTGTCTCGTCGCGGGCTGCTCGCACGAGTTTTCTCCCGAGACGGTCTCTGCGCTCAGGACGGCCGAGGACGCAGACGTTGTCAATTCGTTGATTTGGGCAAACGCGCAGCACGTCAAGGCCGAACTCGCGCAAAAGTTGGCCAGGATCCCGCAGGACGACATCATGGGCCTGCTCAAGTATATCAGCGACTGGTTCGCTTTCTGGCGCGGCAGGGACGGCAAGCAGCGTGCTGATTCGTGGGAGATTAGCAACCTTGGTGTCCTCAAGAATCCCCCTCGAGCCAATGCTCAGGGAGAAGAGCGTGAGGACAAGAAGCAGCAGCAGCAGCAGCAGCAGCAGCAGCAAGACGAGGCTGGGATGCCGAGGGCGACGCGTTTGCTGTTTACAAACGGGGCCATGGTTGCCGGACCGCCAATGGGAATCAATGTTGCGAGCGTGGAGGGATCCGTCTTCACGATTGGATTGTCGTGGCAGGATCGGGTTGTGGAGGACGAGTTGATGGAGCAGCTGGCCGAGGATTTGACCTCGTTTGCGGCCAGGTTTCAGGAGACGGGCGGTTCTTTCGTCTAAGACTCTTCATCTCGCCTCTTTCTCTTTCGTCCTTCCTCTTGATCAACTTACTCATCTTTAATCACTTGTTTCACGTCAACATGCTCATGCTGATTGATATGGCATACAACTTGATAGGGCATTGTTTGGATAGCATACACATCAAGCAGTCTTGCAATAATAGTAATATACTCGAAGAATAACAAACATTTCAAATTTTGAATATACAAGTGTCGTGATATTCTTCGCTATCCAAAAAAAGTCAGACATAGACTTGTATCATATAGAAAATCTCAAAATGTCAAGGCACCGTGCCTATTCTTCAACCCAATCATCATGGTCTCGGCCATCTAGTCTAAATCCAAAACGCCATGCAGTTAACCCACTGTGTCAAATACAAGAAATATATATCTTTCTTCATCATCTTGGTCCCGTCTATTCACATTCCTTCTCTTCCTTTACCAGCCCTGTCCGGGAGGCTTTGTCGGCCGGGATCCCCCTCTAAAGTAGTTGTACTGCATGGGATCCATCTCCTGGCTCTCTGTGTCTTCCTGCTGAGGCAGGCCGCTGTATCCCCGCGGCCCGCCGATTCCTGGGCCGGGCACTGGCGCCGGCACACCGACCCCTGGGCTCCGAGCCCGATCCAGGGCCACGTTGTGGTAGCCGCTAGGGAGGCCGGGGCTCGGCGCTCGCTCGTGAGACATGTCTCGATATGGTGCCGGCACCACGGCCGGGCCTACTGCGTTGTGCACCAGGCCAGACGAGCTGCCGTTGTCCTGCGCATAGAGCGGGCTGCGGTGGCGGCCCATCGAGCTGTCCTCATAGGGGCTAGCCCTGTAGGCCTGATAGCTCGTCTCCTGCGGCGGCGGCAGTCTCACGTTGGCGGGCGAAAACGGCGTGGCGTGGCGGTTGGATGGCGTTCCCGGCCTGGAGCCGCTGTCGAAGGAGCCGGGCGTGCCGGGCCGTTGGCCGTCATACTCCATGGCGTATATCTCGCCGCCTCCGTGCTCTTCGGCAAACTCTGCCCGGTTCTTGTAGTACTCAAAGTCCATGTGCGACTCCGAGACGTACTCGAACCCGGGCACCCCGTCCGCAGCCTTGCCGGGCTTGCCGCCCTGCATGGCGTTGAGCGCATACATGTCGGAGTAGCCGCTGACGCTCATCAGGTCGCCAGCGCCTCCGGCCTCTCTGCCGTCCGTCAGGCGTCCCGAGTAGATGGACGGAAGCAGGTTCTGCGCCTTCTGATGGACCATCGGCGTGATGAGCGGCTTGTACAGAGCCGGGTGGCCAAAGCGACTGGCCAGCTTCTCGCTGCGAAGGCGACTCTCCTTTTGCATGTTGCCGTGGGCTTGCTTGGCAGAGTTGGGCACCCTGTAGTATCGGATCTTGTCGTCAAAGCATCTGTTGCACCAAAACTTGAAAAGGATCAAGAGAACGGGCAGGGGGCACACGGCATAGAACTGGATGTGAGAAGCCTCTCCCTGCACCCAGCACGTCAGCAGCACAACGCCGTTGGACAGCACGGTGCCGAAGATGAAGCGGTTGAAGATGACGCGCCAGAACAGGCCGCCCGACTCCGTCTTGGTGACGTAGCGGTACAGGATCAGGTACTTCTTCAAGAAGGAGTCGATGCAAAAGTACAGGGCCGTCGCCAGGAGCACGAGGGGCTGGATGCCCGCGAAGCACAGCGTCACGGTCGAGTAGTACAGGAAGTAGCAGTAGTAGCTGGCATAGTCAAACGCCGGCGGGGCCGTCAGGTCAATGAGCTCTCTCGGCGTCGGACTGGAGAAGCGCTTGAGGAAGAAGGCGCTGACCAGCGGCCAGAGCTGGGCGAGATCGATGGCGGCGCCGAGCTGTCGCTGCAGCAGGTACGTGACCCAGAAGGGGCTGTTTTGGCAAAAGGCTTGGAAGATGCTGAGGGCAATGTTCTCCTTGACGATGGCGTCCCACGCGCTGAGGCCCTTGTCGGTATCGGTGATGATGGATGCGACAAAGGACCAGATGACGCTGAAGAAGGAGAAGACGATGAGGTTGTTGAAGACGAAGAAGGAGTAGAGCTTGGCCATGACGTGTCGCTCGCGTCCCGTCTTGGTCTTGTCGCCGGCCCTGATGGAGAGGCGACGGAAGATGACGGGCAGGGCCAGGTAGACGCCGGACGTGATGGCGGGAGATGCGATACCCTGGACGATACCCCAGAAGGTCGTCTCCTTCTCCAGAGAGACCTGGAATGCGTGCCAGACCTTGCCCAGGTTGCCCAAGTTGACGAGGAAGATGGCAATCATGGCGTTGGGCGCAATCCAGAAAATGGTCAGGACGACGATCCAGAAGCTGTTGAACCACCGCCTGCGGCTGCGGGTCGAGCTGGACAGCGGCATGTTCTGCCAGATGATGTCGATGGGCTTCGGGGCCAGGAGAATCGTCGTGCCGTGGGGCTTCTTGCCGCGAGCAATGTAGGCAATCTCGTGCGCCTCCGCAACGTCCGAGTAACTGGCGAATCCGTAGGGCATGGAGCTGCGCTTGTCGACACTGGCCCGGACCTCCTTGATCTCCACCTCGAGATCGCGAATGCGCTGGGTGTAGTACTCAATGGCGTCCAGCCGCTGGCCCTTGGGATAGCTGCTGTACGAGCGGTCCTTTCGGGAGGGCTTGCAAGTCGGTCGCGGCGGCAGGTTCTGGGGATTCTTGAGGTAAATGGCCAGGACCTTTTCCAGCTTCCGAACCGCTCGGCCGTGCTCCGCAATGAGGTCGGGAAGGTCCTTGACGTTTCGGGCAATGGCGGTTCGGGCAAAGGACGAGTTGGGAGCGACGTTGTCGATGATGCGCGCAATGCCCTCATCGGAGCAGGCCTGCTTGGGGATGTCGTACAGCTGTTTGGTCCAGCCCGTCAGCATTTCGCATCCGCAATCATCTACAAACACATAACACCTACCATGAGCGTTCGCGAGTGCAGACTGTTTTGGTAGTCCTCGCTCTCAAAGTACTTGCGACGGAGCTGCGTGATGCGGCGATAGTTCCACCAGAGGAAGAAGCACACAATAACGTCAAAGACCCATGCAATCACGACTTGCGACCACAGCACGCGCCCATAGACGTTCAAAGGCGTAATGGTCATGATCCAGCTGTTGGAGTTGGTTGGGGCGCCGGGGAACTTGACAGACATGGTGGAGTTGATGGGGACGAGGACGCCGATGCCGATGAGGGCGAGGACGAGGAACATGTTGCGACACATGCGCATCACGCGCAGGAAGACGGTGGCGTCCATGCCAATCTGTTGAATCAGCCTCTCTTCCTGGGTGTGCAGCAAGGGCAGGATCCATGACCACGGCTTCTTGCCCAGCGGCGGCGGCGCGTGCTTCTCGTCGGCATGTTTCAGCTTCGGGGCGTAGACGGACTGGTTGTATGGTCGGATGAAGGAGAAGAGGAGGGCGGCAAAGGCAGTGATGCCGAGGGAGATGCCCAGGGCCGAGAAGACGGATGCCGATTGAAGCTGGAAACGGCCATGTTGTCAGAGCAAAGAACAAAGGAACAGCAGGCGCAGGGAGGGATGAGATTTGCTCCGCTGGAGCGAGGTTGACTAACCGTGCCGGAGAAGGGATCTTTGAGCAGCTGCAGCAGCTGTGTTGCCGGGTTGTCGTCGTTGTCGCGCCCTTGGAGCCAGTACGGCGCAGACTGTCGAGCTGTCATGGTGGAAGAGTTGAGGCGCCCAGTGAGGGCAGAAGGCCTGTGATGCGCTTCACCAGAGATTTCGAGCCAAGGCGAAGAAGCGAGCGCGAGGGCCAAAGAGTATCAAGAGGGAAACAGGATCACGGCGCGATTCCACCACGCACGATGCCAGCGCTCGGGTCGGGGTGGTTGGTGACTATGTGCGCCGCGCAGCGGAGACACGGCCAGCGATGGCTCAGTCAAGAGCTTCCAGGGCCGTCGGAAGAAGTCGTGCCAGTCCGAGGACGCAGTCCGTCTGTTGCGTCACCAGCGTTGAATGTCAGGGGCAATGTCGCTTCGCAGGATGCCTGTCGATTTCGCCAAGTCGCCAGACGGAGCAGAGCGAAGGCGCGGGCAACGAAAGGGAAAACGAGCGTCGAGACGGAAAACCCACGCAGCCAGAAACGAGGGACGCTCTTCTGCTAGAGAATCGCAGGTGAGCAGCGCTACTTTTGGGGAGGCAAGGGAAGAGAAGAAAGAGAAGCGAAGAAAGAAAAAATGAAAGAGGAAACAAGACAAAAAAGACAAAACGAGCAGAACAGAAGGAAGAGGAAAGGCTCGGGTCCAGCCAGGGGTCATGCGATGGGGGGTTTCGGGGTGGCACAAGGACAAGGCCCGGATCCAAGGCGCAGGTGAGCAGGCAGGAAACAGGCGCAACGTGAGTGGACGGGGTTGGTTTGGTGTCGTTGGAGAGCCCGCGTGTGCGTCGAGGATCACAGATCAATGGCAATCGGCCCCAGGCCCGGATGGAGAAGCGAGACACGCCAGGGAGTGCGAGAGAGGGTCCTCCAAGACCCCCCCAGGGCGGCAGAGAAGGGCTGCTGTTGGTGAGAGAGAGAGAGGAGAGGAGATGGATGGGGAAGCGAGGCCGTTTGGCGGGCATGTCACTCACTGTACTTGAGGCACTTGACCTGCTACTCGTACCAGCACTACCTAAATAGGTACCTAATATACCTGCATTAGTAGGTAGCCCTACTACAGGTACTCGTTTGCAGCAATCGATAGGTACTAGAAGATGCTGGTAGGTGGTGGTAATCGTGGTAGACTTGGCGAGCATTACAGTTGGTGGATGGGTGCAGCTGGTGATGGGTGCAGGGCTGTATTTTCTGTGCACGTATGTAGCACCCGACTGCACCTAAGTAGTAGGTACTATACCTTATCCAGGCCTTCGATTCCTCACCAACAACTGCTGAACAGGTACATACTCACTCAGCTTTGATCGACTTGGCAGCATCGACGACATCACCCGTCTAGCCCTGCGGTTCGTGCAAGCAATGCTGAGCCAGCCAGACTATTGCCACTGGCAGCTACCTAGTTTTTTACAGTGGCTTCAACTCCAGACACCCGCGGACGGGATAACTGGGGACCTCTGTTTCAGCACTCAAATTTTCCCTCCTCTGTGTGCCGTCCTGCTCCAAGCAAACGGTTAACGGCTTCGCTGTGGCCCGTCTCTATTGGTCCGAGTGTCCCCCCCTTGTCTCTCTTTCTGACCCCCCCTGTGGGCTTGTTAGAGCCTTGGGAGGCCACTCACTCGGTGGCCACTAAAAAGAAACCAATCATCCACTTTGTCTGCGTTCTCGATTCGATCTCTTCTTGCAACTTGTTTGTCCCTCCACCCCAAAGCCAAGCAAAAAAAATCAAGGTCAAAACGCTGGGCTATTTTTTTCGATAAGGTACCTTAGTTTGAACCCCCTTAAAAGCCACTGCAGCACTAGCGCGCCTTAGCACGCGGAACATGAGCGGTGGCTGTTTGATGCCAGGAACCGCTTGAGCCACTGAGCCAGTAGGGCGGCGCGGTGGGGCGGCGGTGGAAGGGACAGGATGGAAGAAAATACGAGTTGAGCAGTTCTATGTAGGTATGTACTATAAGCACTAGAACGCGGTTGTATTTTAATAGGAACCTAGGTACGCAGACAAAGAAAGAAGAGGAAAGGATCTAAGAGTGAGTGAGCGAGTGAGTGAGTGAGTGAGAATGACAGCGGCAGGCTGATGGCTGGTGGTATTAGGCCAACGTTGCTTGTGCTGAGGTTATTTTGGTCTGGCGCCATGAGACATGCAGCATCTCGCCCAACTGCAGGTTCGTCTGTGTGCTTCCACCCTCGTCTGCCTCATTCTACAGAGGTTTCTACGCTCATCCGTACATACAGTACCTACCTTACCTACACAGACACACACACAATACCTGCGAGTAACAGCATCATCACCACACACACACTCGCTCACTCACACACACACACACACACACACACACACACAGAATGCCTTCCCGTGCGCCTACTGGCACAAGCAGCAAAGATCATCGCTTGCGGGGCCTCTCTTGTCTGATGCTCGCTGGGATGAGATTCCGGTCAGTTCCAGAGCGTGCTCCATGTTGCTATTTTTGCCACCAACAGAACCCCATCGACAGCTCCGTTCCAGTCCTTAGCATCACCATCTGCATACGCCTTATCCTTGGTGCATGTCATCCTACTACATACAGTACAGTACTTGCATACCGTATTATTCCATGGATTCTATTCGCGGGCTACTCAGCTACGCAACTTTCTACCAAACGCTGCATGAGCTGAGAAGTAGAAGGCTTACGGGCTCCAAGAGCACACACACACTCTCTCTCTCTCACGGGCCGAGTCCCCTCGACCAGATGCTGATCCAAGCACGCAAAACGCGCGGGTCTAGCGGTAGGGCCAGGTGTTGCACGGCTATAGCCGATCTGTGCTTCGCCACTGACGGCGACGATCAGTCATGCCCGTTCCGGGGGGGTCGCTGGTTGCTGGTTGGCAGGTATTACTATTCACGCATCTCGTTCCATCTGATGCTGGTTTGAAAGATGAAGCCGAATTGGTAGATTGATACAGGAGCCGAAGCAGACTTTGATGCGTATCATTGAGGCAGAGATTTCGGAGCTCTTACCACTCTATGTATGTACATACAAAGTGAGTTACCATCGATGCTACCTCGCAGCTGGTGAATACCACCCTGGCTTCCGCAATAGCCGCAGACCTAGTACTAGCTGTAAATTGCTGGACTTCCTTCATCGCTCAAGATGCAGGGAATGCTCAAGAAGACTGGAATCTCTCTGCCTTCTCTCGCATGGCATCTATGAAGTCTTCCTCTTCATCTTCTTACTTTGCGTACATCTTTCTCATAGTGAAAAGAAACTCTTGTAATATTCAAGTGTCCGACTGTTGATACCTCAAGCATCAAATTTCTTTGCATTCATGCGACGGCCCGTACTCGCGAGTTTTGTTCGGATTGGGGTTTACCAACCACCCTGGCGCTTGGCTTGCTCCAGCAGTCATGCTCCTGCATGTATGTATTATTAAGGTACTGTATGAGCAACCGGCCTTTGATAGCCTCCTTGTAGGTAGTGATGTTCTCAGTTTCTAACTGATTCATGGCGCTCTACCTATTCCCATGTGCAGGACGCCATTTGCCTGCTTGTCATGCGAACATCTGCTGCACGCGATCTATTCTTTTAGACTGCACCACCGGAGAGGCCTCCGTGTAACCGGGTCGTATAAGGTCTCTTACCCTTAAGCTTAGATAGGACAGAAGCCGTATACGAGCCACCGTCGACTGTTCCTATCAGCGACTGCGCGTATTCAGCGCGTATCGACGGACGCTATATCCCAAAGTCGAAGTTGCTGCCATCTGATGCTTGCATGCCAAGCACGACGAATTCTGTTCCCCTGAATCCTTCATCCTGGTCGGTATCGTTGTCGCTGGAGCCCAAATGCCAGCAGCAAGTGGAGGCCTTTTGCACTCCACTACGGAGTTGCTCTATTGCCCGGTTATCCGGGGAGAGCAGGGGGCCTGGTCATGGTCGTGGTCATGGACAACGATGAGTGAAGCGGAACTGTGATGGGACTTGATCAATTGCATTCCTCGTATCAGTGGGCGATCATCTTGAGCGGGTATAAGAGCTTCGAGAATATATGATCAAGATGAGCAAGAGCATCTGAGAGAGCTGGACCTTACGGGCAACAGATGGTCGGGAAGAAAATCAATGCGGTAGAGCCAGAAATCGAGGACTTTTTTTTTTTTTCGTCATATGTAATGCATCTATGATGCACATGGAGGCGAAATCGTCCCCACTATCAAGCAGTTGACAATGTCGCTCAACGCATCTCCATTCGATTCTTGTTGGTGAAGTTGGAACACGAATGGCTGGATCATGGAAGCTACCATGCCATCATGATCTACCTAAACGAGGGGCCGGGCCCGCAGAAAGAGGACGCAAGTCAACTCAAGTAATACGTCACAAAGAAGAATGTTCCTACGACGGTCATCTTCGGAGGTTGCTCCTCACCACCATACTTCTGAGAACCTCTCTAGCCGGCATTATGACGAGATGAGTCTTGCCGCTCCTTGTCGGTAAAAGTTCTCAAGTATATCACTAAGTCGCCCTGCATGAGTCAAAAGAAATAAAGGAACACCGCACACTTGGCGAACCTCTCCAGAGTGTGTCGACGACGCTGACGTCTTGTTCCAGGTGCTCCCGCGGCGTGCCTAGTATCCCGCGAGTGTAGCCCCGTCCTGCTTCTCTTCTCTTGTACGTTCAATTGAATTTGAGTATTTCGGTTTTCACGTCGGACGTAACCTATCGTCGATTCTCGTATATGACTCGATGCTCCTGTGATGATCGGAGGATAAGTAGAAAAGGGCTCAAGGGCTCCCATTTGCTCAGGAGTTCATGCACAACTTACCACACTACTGTCAAAATTATCCAACCAGAAGATGACAATGGCCACTCTGGAACTCGCCTCAGTCACTAGCCGTGGATTTTTGTCAATCATACAATTTTCCATTATCGTCAAGACTACCTACCCAATACATGAAAGCTATGAGAAAGAGTACACAATAAGAACAAGAAACTCGAGCCTGCCAATAACGTCGGATATCTCAATGGCCAGAGTCATAGGTAACTAGGTACCATTGGTCCATTTCGACAACCACTTTCGGCAAGGCAACAGATATACATACAGCGACAGCCAAGCATCCCAAAAGCAGCACAATATGACTCGAGCGAGGCCGATTTTTTCGCCGTCAACAAGAAACAAGATAAGTCAAAAGGAACGTCATGAGCCAGGGGAAAATATATGGTCGATTGGTTAGCCGGCTTCTGGGCTCAAACCTCGACAGGCCCTTGACTCCGAGTCTTGCGCAAGGTCTTTCCCACCACGGGAGCGGCCTTCTTGTCCTTCTTGGGGCGGCCCGGCTTACGACTGCCGCCGTTGGTGGCCGCCTTGCCGTTCTCATCGATCTTGACCTTTTTGTCTGCTCGCTCACTCTCTTCAGAGTCTTCTTTCTCAGCCGCTGCTTCGTCGGCAGCAGTCACGGCCTCAGCCGTGTCGGGTTGCTTGCGCTTCTCCCCGGCCGCCGTTGACGACGTCTCCGACTTGTCCTCTGCGTTGCCCGTCTGAAGAGCGCCGGCCATCAGCTCGGCAGGCTTCGACTCGCCATTGGGAGTCACGGGCTTGTCAACAATGGAATCAGGTCCGACATCACTTCCCGGCGCAGAAGCCGAAGGCGTCGGCAGCGGCTCCTGAACCTCGGTGATGGGGACAGGGTCTTCCTTTGGCTTCTCAGACTCTTCTGGCTCGGCAGAGATTGGCAGCTCCGGCCGCGGTGATCCATTTGCCGGAGTTGACGCGTTGACGGGAGTCTCGGGGACGGACTGGACTTCAACGGCATGCGGGGGCTTATGGGACTCCTTGGGGGCGTCGGCGGCGCTTGGGGGCTCCTGTGCGGGCTTCGCATCCTCGGGCGCCTTGGTGTCGCCGATGATGGGGAGCTCTTTGGGCTTCTCAGATGGAGCTGAGGAGTCCGCGGTGGCATCAGGCTTGGCCGTGTCCGCGCCCATATCCAGTGTCGGAGCTCCAGCTTGAGCTTCGGGAGCTTCAGGGACAGGCGCACCGACTGTTGATGGAGGTCATGTCAGCAAGGTTTGCGATTGAACTCGGCAGTAGCAGAAGCGAGGTCAAGGGAGATCGTTTTGTTCTTCCACAACATAGATCAATTGAAGCCAATTCGGATAAAGTTGAAGCTGGTTTATTAGGAAAAAGGGCAGTACCTTTGTCAACAGCTGGAGCGATGCCGTCAGACATGATGCTGGTGTTGATGACGTAAGAATCGGTTGAGTGTCGCGCGCGCAATGGCAGCGGATGGAGAGCTCGGGTAAGAAGAGGGCAAAGGTGATGGAGGGAGACGAGATGCGCGCTTGCAGGCAGACAAGATTCAATCCAATGTCGGTGTCAGCGATGGAAGCGGAGGAGAGAAGAGGCGGTTGTTTGGAGGAGGTGGAAGCAAGCAGAAGCAGCAATAGCAGCAGAGACGGAGAAGAGGCAGAGAGAGAAGGTTTGGAAGCAGAAGCAAAGAGACAGAGGCAGAGGCTCCAGCTTCACCGGTCCCGCGGTTCCACAGATGGGCGATTACTGTACTCGACTCCTCTTCCCTCTCTGCCTTGCTCGTCTTCCGCTTCTGCTCGCATAACATCTAGTTAATCCGAGATGATGTCGCGCGCCCGCCATTCCACTGCGGCAGGGAACCTTGCTTGCTCGATACCCTTTTGCCGTTTGAGCAAGGAAGGCCATGGCCGGCGGCGCCGTGTGGGTACGTCTGCTGCGAGGAAGCGGCGCTGATTTGTCTGTCAGCCATCGCGATCACAAACCAGGAAGAGCCGACACAGTGCCTGTTGTCATGGACGCTCGATTGGAGGTGGACAAGGTTGGCGGCGGCAGTAATACTAGTACCTACTGTGCTTTATGTACATACATACGAGCAGCGAGGGCGAGGGCGAGAGCGAGGGTGAGGGTGGGACGGTGTGAATCCGACGCCATCGGGACCGTGGGTTGAAACGAGCAACTCTTGCGGGGAGATGGAGCATCGACCGTCGCCCGCGCATCTTCATACTGTACGGCATTGATACATAAAGTACCTACTGTAGGTACCTTATGTGAGGCAAGGCAAGGTCAGGGTAGGTATGATGGAGGCCGACGCCACCCTGGAGCGCCTTTCAGCTCCGCATTCGTCCAGGCAAGTTCACGGCGTCGGTCGATTGTGGGCGGGGCTGCAGCGAGTTTGACGTAGTATCGTATCTTCTGGACGTTGGTACATACACATTAGACTACATGCCGATTTGATGCGATGCGATGCATGCACGTCTGTCTGGCTTCTGGTTGTTTGGGAGAGGGGGCAGATTGGCTGGCGATGGGGAGATATGGAGAGGCAATGGGGTTGCTTATTGGAGTGCCTGGACTGGCCGTGGTGCCGTTGATGGACGACTATTGATACTAGCTGGACTCTGGTTGTCTGATGGCCTACTGTCAGTATTGGAACAGTATCAGCATGCGGGCAGAGAATTCCATATTGATAAGTACATGTATCTCATCAACTTCCATCTCTTATACCTTGTCATATAGGTAAGGAGGTAGTACAAAGTATCGTAGGTAGCAATTGTTGATGCTCTCCTGGAGGATGCCATGGTTGGATGGCACTGTTGAACCGCCGAAGCCCAGCCAAGTGTCGGTGTCTGCTTAGTCATCAGCCATTCAACACCCCTAAACTGCCACCTTTACGGCAGCTTCCATCTCAGAGGACAACTATCGAGCTGCAGGACGCGACACCCAACTTCAGCACGCTCATTTATCGTCCCATTAACGCGTCTCGTCTTCGTTCTTCTTCTTCCCTTGCACTATCCAGCACACAAAGACATCATGGCCCCTACAAAGAGCTCCAATGACAAGTACTCGGTCATCCTGCCGACGTACAACGAGCGCAAGAACCTCCCCATTGTGGCCTGGCTGCTGAACCGCACTTTCACAGAGCAGTAGGTCCAATTGATTCTGCATTCTCTCTGCTCTTGTCCCAAAGGGTTGCTGACAATCCCCAGCCAACTCGATTGGGAACTCATCATCGTCGACGACGGCTCGCCCGACGGCACCCAAGACGTCGCCAACCAGCTCGTCAAGGCCTACGCCCCCCACGTCGTCCTCAAGACTCGCTCCGGCAAGCTGGGCCTCGGCACCGCCTACGTCCACGGCCTGCAGTTCGTCACGGGCAACTTCGTCATCATCATGGACGCCGACTTCAGCCACCACCCCAAGTTCATCCCGCAAATGATTGCCGTGCAGAAGAAGGGCAACTACGACATCGTCACCGGCACGCGCTACGCGGGCAACGGCGGCGTCTTCGGCTGGGACCTGAAGCGCAAGTTCGTCAGCCGCGGCGCCAACCTGTTCGCCGACACCGTCCTCCGACCCGGCGTCAGCGACCTGACGGGCAGCTTCCGGCTGTACAAGAAGAGCGTGCTGGAAAAGGTCATTTCCAGCACCGAGAGCAAGGGCTACACGTTCCAGATGGAGATGATGGTGCGCGCAAAGGCCATGGGATGCACCGTTGCCGAGGTGCCCATTTCCTTTGTGGACCGCGTCTACGGCGAGAGCAAGCTGGGCGGCGACGAGATTGTCGAGTACGCCAAGGGCGTGTTTTCCCTGTGGCTCAAGGTCTGAGCAGACAGATGACAGTGACGGACGAAAAAAGGAATGATTTCAATACGAGAGTTTTGGTGGGCCGGCGTTGATATTGCGGACAAGAGTAGCTCCCGCTTCCAATTTCACATAATATACCATTGCCATTTTCTGTTTCTACAGGTATCATATCATCAGCGCTCACAGCACGACATGGCCGGCATAGACAACGCGAATATATACACATCGATCGGCTCAGTCTACATGTTCCTCCCACCCGTCACCATGATGGTCTGCCCTGTCACGTAGGAGAATAGCGGACTCGCCACGGCCAGAATCGCACTCGCAGCCTCCGTCGCCGTCCCGGGGCGACCCAAGGGAATGTCCGAATGAGTGGCACCGGGCTTGCCTCTCCCCGGAACGCCAATGGCAATCTTCTCGCCGTCGGGCCCAATTACAAACCCGCCGTCCTCCTTGGCCGCCGTCAACCTCGTCTGGATATAACCAAAAGCAACGGTATTCGCCCTCACGCCAAACGCGGGGCCCCATTCCTTGGCAATCGTCTTGGTGAACCCGACAAGGCCGGATTTCGCCAGCGCGTAGTTGATCTGGCCCGCGTTACCGTGGATGCCCGAAGTCGACGAGACGGTGACGATGCAGCGCGGCTCGCCGTCCTTGACGCGGAAATAGGGAGCCGCCTCGCGGATCATCTTGAAGGGCGCGGTGCAGTGGATGGCGATCATGGTCTCCCACTGCTTGTCGGACATTTTGTGGATGACGCCATCGTATGTGTAGCCCGCGGAGGCAACGAGGATGTGGATCTTGCCGTTGCCGAAGGAGGCTGCTTGGGCGATGAGAGACTTGATGTATGCTGGGTCGAGGACGTCGCCTGGGACGGAGAGGGCCTGGTGGCCGGATTGGCGGATTGATTCGGCCACTTGGTTGCATTTTTCTGTTGAGCTTGTATCAACACCCCATTGGAACATGAATGATAATTGTGCTTGAGCGAGCGTCATTACCGGCATCAATGTCTGCGACTACGACTTTGGCGCCTTCGTTGGCAAAGCGGCGGGCAGTTTCGGCGCCGATGCCTTGGCCTGCGCCGGTGATGATGGCGGTTTGGCCGGCGAGGAGGCCTTTGGGGTAGTTGAGGTGGCCGACGACTTGGGAGACTCTGTCTGCCATTTTCATGTAGGTTTATTCAAGATATTATAACGTTGAACTGTGATTATATGAGATTGAGGTCATGGGTTGTGTGAGAGAGCTGTGAGTGTTGTATGTAGGTAAGTAAGGTAAGGTAGGTACATACCTAAGCTTAGATGACACTGATATCAATGCCGAGGCTCGCGGCTCAGTGCTCGCTGGATTGGGTAATGGGGACGGCAGTTGTGTGGGGTAACAAGGAGATACCCGGTAGCTGTGAGGATGATGCTCGAGGTTTCTAAGACTTCTGTTTCTGAAGTTGCAGAGGTTTGTGATCTGAAAAGTGATGTGAAATCACCTCAGCCACACGTTGATCCAGTGCTGTTGGTTATATGCAGCGCTGCAAACAATCGTTGATATAGTCTATACCTAATGGGTTGTCCAAATTGGATAGCCTCATTCTGAAGCTCATCGAGAAATGATGTCTTGATTTACGCTATAGCTCAACTTTGCCATACCCAAGCCGTCCACATCACTGAAATCCAACTTCTTGCCTTGTAAAGCGCAACTCTCACAGCTTGAAGTCGGCATTAGTTTTCTCCCATCCAAACGGTGATTCCTCCAGGTTCGCCACCCTCTCCGCGAGCCTCCCCTTCAGTATTCGGTTCCTTTCCGAGCACAGTTCGTATACCGTCGAGAGGTTGAAGAGCAGCGTATGAGACGACAGACCCGAATCGACCAGCTTCTCCAATATCGTTCGTCCCTGTATCCCTTGTCAGTACAGCACCAGCAGCAACGTGGCGTGAGGTGTTACCTCTTGGATTCGTCCAAGATAGATGAGGCACACTGCCTGGTTCACGCCAATCATCTCATCCGCTATTGAGCTGTCAAACTCCTGCCACTTTTGCAGTGCCTCCTCATAGTTTGAATCTGCCATGTCGCACAAGGCCAGGATAATCTTCTCCACGTTCTCCATGGTCTCCGAGCACTGGCTTGCGCAAGCCTTTGCATTTGCTGTATCGCCAAGGTGCAGCCATAGCAATGCCTTGGACAGCGCCAGCTTGCCATCGCCTCGGTCTCGCAAGCTGCCGAGATGGTGCGCTGCGCCAGAGAGATCGTCCATCTCGATCAGGGCCCCTGCGACCTTGATGCCCAGCTCGTGCAGGCGTGACTTCCACAACTCTCTTGCCGAGTTGTCGTGTGTCAGGGAAGCCTTTCTGATGCGATCCCTGGCTTCCCTGGCGAGGTCGTGGTAGCTCATGACGGCTCGGCGGGCATCACCAAAGCCCAGCGCCTGCAGACGCACGTGCAGCACGCGCAGCTCCCACGGCACAAGATGCTCGCCCGTGTTGTCGTCAATGTACCTGCGGGCGTCGTTGAGGTCCTCCAGCGCCTTGGCTTCCTGGGCCGCGAGCGAGGTAGCATCGATCAGGGTGAGACAGGCGAGCCGGGTGTACAGCAGCCGAAAGATCCTGGTGGCATCTTGCGGATCAACGGGGCTGCCGCTGACCGTTGAGCCGGTGAGTTCTTGTGCTGCTGCGATGGCTGCTGCTCGGAAGTGGCCTTTGGCGAGCAGTTCTTCCAGGGGCGTCTCCGAGGTGGGCTGTTTTGGAGAGTTTCTGAACGCAGGGGGCACGTTTTGCACGTTGAGGGGATGGTAGATCTCGGGCTGAAGGAGGAATGAAAAGTCCTTTGGTCTCGCCTCTCCCAGTTGAGGAGCCGGAGACGGCGTGGCGTGTCGAGCCTGTGATGCAAAGGCTGGTGATGGCTGGAGGCTTGGGCTGAGCTGAGGGGTCGAAGTCGTCGGAGACGTCAATAGTCCACTGCAGGCGATTAGACCGAGTGAGTGAATATGGATTAATGAACTGACTTGTCGGCATCAAGAGGGCCTTTGGTAGAGGACCTCGGTCTTGTTGCTGCGTTTGCGTGTCAGCAAATGTACGGAGCATCTCATCCTGGCTACATGTACTCGGGGGGGCCCCGAGTCTCATATAACGGCTAGGTACTTCGCTATGAGCACATACCCCGAGTAATGGACGCTTTGTTTCTTCTGTGGCCCTGTTCCTGTGTTTGTTCACTCATTATATCCAGAATAGCCTTTGGGATGAGTAAAATGATCAACTTCTCTATAAGAAAGCTCAAGGTGTCGTTCGATGACGGGTTATTGTAGGTGATGACAACCAGTCAGAGGCCTATTGGTGATGGTCATGCAACGCCGGAGAATCCTCGGGCGTTGCTCGAGTCTCGACTACCAAAGCAATTGAGCTGACCTGCAACTTTGGTAGATCATCACTCATCACTAACAAACTACCCAATGCGAACATGATGATCGTTCTCAATCGCTGAATCTCCCAAGAAATCTAAATGGAATCAAGTTTGATATCTCCTTACTATCGGGATCTGGAGATACGGCGCTGATACCCGAGACAAAAGGAATGTTTTCCTTCTCTCACTCAGAGACCCACCAAGCTGTGGCTCTCTCTCTCAAAACTTAATGAACATTCCATGCTTCAACTCTTCACCCGTGACGCATCATGAGAACCAGAAGGTCGAATCGCGCAAAACGGTACACACTCGATCAGTACGACTTTCTTGAGTCTGGAGATGAGGAGCAGCCTCAGAAGCAGAAGAGTCGCAAGACTGCCGACGACAATGACGACAATTTCGAGGCAGCTGCCGAGGAGCGCAGCGCTGGAGAGGACGACGAGGATGAGGAAAACGAGGACGAGGACGAGCCGAGGAATGACAGCGGCAGCGACGCAAATCCACTAGAGAGACCCTCTCGCCAGCGCTCAAAAGGAACCAAACAGGCGAAACCAACCAAGCAGGGCAAGCCCGTCGACGTGGGCATCCTGGAAGTGAACGGATATCTCGACATCGAGCTCGTACCTCCAGAGGGCCAGCACAAGGGCTATGTCGGGCCTTATGACCGCGGTATGCGCAACAAGGCCCTGGCGAGGACCTGGTTTGGCCCCGACCCTGATCGCATCAGCATGGCCATCGAGCTGCTGGAGCGCTGGGCCGGATGGACGCTTCTCCCTCCAAAGGTGCCTCAGGACGAGGACGAGCCCACGGACAAGGGCTTCTGGATTCCTGGCGGGCTCGACCGGGAGGCTCGTCTTGCGGAGAAGTGGCATGTGCAGATGAGCGCCGCTCTGCCGTCCGACAATGTGTGGTTGGAGCTTAGTCTGGAGGAGTCTCAAGCGTTTCGCTTTCCCCAGCTGAGCATGCCCATGTTGACCGGCCCGTCAGTGGCCCAGCTGGAGCTGTCGATGGAGCCCGGACGCTGCTATGCCATGTCGCAGAGCAACATACCGTATGACCAAGACGAGGACGAGGACAAGGTGCAGAGCGGGTGGGTTCTGGATGTGGGCGGCATCGTCTTGAGCATGGACTGGGTGCCTCGGCGAGACAAGAACCCCAAGCAGCTGCTTGCTTTGGCAATCATACCCCATCTCGACCAGGAGATGTACAACTACGAGGAAGAGTCCGTAAAGCCCGGCTTTCAGAAGCAGGGCATTGTTCAGGTCTGGGAGTTTCAGGGTGTTGCGACGGACGATGCGTTTATTCGACCATCGAGCGAGCCTGCAATACTGCGGAAGACGCTGTGCGTGGACTGCGGGCGCATCAGACGAGTTAAATGGAGCCCGTCGCGCAATCACATTGCGTTTCTCTGCGGTGATGGTAGCGTATATATTGCCGATGCTGGGGATCTTGACGGCCAGGAAGAGGGCGTCTACTGTAAGCATAGCTCAACATCTGCCTCTCGCTTTCCTTCCACTTCTGACATACTATAGATCAGCTCCATCGGCCACTTGCGGTTCTCAGTCTGGCTGATGAGTACGCCATCAAAGCGACTGCCATGACTTGGATCAATTGCAATCGAATCGCTGTCGGCTATTCTGACGGCTCCATCGCTCTCTGGTCGATTTACCCTCAGTGCCTCCTGTCTCGGCACCCTGTCCATCACAACGACATCATCGACATGGCATCCGGGTACCCGACCATGCCAACTGTCATTGTTTCCCTCCCGGTCGGCGGCACCGCTCGAATCCTGGACCTCCAGGCCCCGAGCTACGAAGTCACCGAAGCCCAAAGGCCACTGGTGCATACACAGCCGGGCCTCTTGGGCTACAGCGACCATCTTCAGGGGTTCATGTCCATATATCCTTCTGCTAGTGCCTTGAACACGGTTATTGGATTTTTACACCACGCGCATTTCCCCGTATGTAGGAGGATCTTCACTGGGGATAGTTTCCTCACTTGTCTGTCCGTCGGGCGACTTCATCCCTTTTTGCTCGTCGGCACCATGGACGGTTCTATATGGTGTTTCAACGCGCAGACGGAGGTCTTTAGCAATCGGCACGAGATGACAGACAAGATTCGCATTTTCCGGCACGAGCATCGGCCGGGGTATTTGTTCCCTCCTGACTCGCCTGCAGCTGCTCGAGGTGTGTCTCGCGTGACGCACGGCTATGGAGTGGACAGGAATAGGAACTCGAAGCTCGAGGGCAAGCAGGCTGCGAAAAGGGGCAAGAAGCTGCGCGCCAAGGAGCCAGCTGAGGTTCCCGAGGGCGAGCGAGAGGGCGAGGGGGAAGATGATGACGAGGACGCTGGCGACACGGATCCGTCACGAGCTAGGCTGCATGAGGCGCTGACGAGAATCACTGCTATTGAGTGGAACCCTAATGTAGACTATGGATGCTGGGCGGCGGTGGCCATGGGCTCGGGCATAGTGCGAGTAATTGATCTGGGACTGGAAAAGTACCCTGAGAGCACATGAGGGAATAGGGCCAGTATTCAGTTTGAATGTAACAGCCAAGTCTATCTAATGATTAATATCTATACTTTGGCATGTGTATATATACACCAATGCTCTGCCTCTTCTAGTCTAGGATATTGTGTTTACTGGCCTGAGCATAGTGAGTCCTTGTGTTGATGATGGTAGTCAAACGCCTTGGCCATGCCATAGAAGTGAGTTGCGGCGGCAAATACGACAAACATGTGGAAGATCTGGTGGGAGTGGCCCCAGATATCGAATGCGCCAGGATAGCTTCTCTCGGGCCAACGAGCCTAGCCAGTACATCACCAAAGTCAGAAGAATCCTATATGAGGGGGGCACGGGTTGATGGAGAGAGGTAGACGAACCGCATAGAGAACTGCACCGACAATGTACATGAGCCCGTGCAGAACGACCCAACTGAGGCTCATCATGTTCTCGAGGGTTTGGTAGCCGAAGCTAAGAAGCCCGTGGCATACGGGGATAACCCCGGAGAGCCCGAGGCTGACGAACATGAGGGCACGGTAGGGCCTCCAGGCGGGTGTGCGGAACTGCTCAACCCAGGAGACGACGACGCATCCTATGCCCAGGAGGCATATCTGTGCTTACATGTTAGCATAGCACTCATTTACACGGGGCGTGCTTGTTGAATCTCACCAGGTATAGGTACTCTGCCATGAGCACTGGATGGCAGAAGAAGCCGTAATAGAGAGCAGGCACATAGCTCCCCACAATCAAGGCGACGATGCCCGTGTAATCCAGCTTGTTGCCCCATTTTGCAACTTCCGGGCTATGATCCGTCAAGGCGTGATACGTGGCGCTCATGCCGAGGCAGACGACGCCACTCCCCAGGAAGCACGCAAAGACGAGGACATCCGACGACGTAGCCGACTCATAGCGCGGACGAATGACGAGGTACAAGTAGGCTGCGGTAAGAATGGCGACGATTGCACCGGAGAGATGAGACCAGATGTTGACGGACTCGTTGTGCAGGTACAGCAGCGAGCGGGCGGATGCGGCGTATGAGGGGATGATGGGGCGGTAGCCGGTGAGGATGAAGGCGTTGTCGCGGCGCCACGCGGGGAGGTCGTCCCAGGAGAGCAGGGAGGAGAGCTTCTGCTCGAGGGCGTGTTCGGCGTTGATTGCGGCTGACAGGAGGTTGGAGGAGAGGGAAGGGCGGCGGTTGCGGACGGTGGATGAGGATGAGGAGGAGGGTTGTTGATTGGTAGGCATTTGGGGTGGGTTTGAAGTGAATATAGTGTAAGTGTGTTGAAGTATGAGATGAATTAGATCCTATATTACAGAGTAGTTGGCTTGAAATTGAAAAGAAAATAAAAGAAGAGAAATGATTGGTTTTATCTCAGTGTTCCCATCTTGTTGGCGACGTTTGTAAGTTGTTGGGGTTGATGAAGATCCATCAAGACGTCTTGAAGTGGACCTGTTGGTGAGTGGGTGTACCGACGTGTGCAGTAGTGGCTTGACATGTGACTGAGCGATGCCGCTTTTTGCTGCTACAGGATCTTCGGCAATATCATCCAGATCATCGTATGAGCATCTGCCTATGCCTGCATGATACTCTATCGGCGGCTTGGTCTGTTAAAGAGTACCTTATACCTCAAAAAATCATCTCATAGCACACAGCATTGCATCTGTGGCATCCCTTTGATCCAAAGGTCTTGCAAAATGGATGCATCAGCTGGGTGCATTTCGAGGCGTTCAGCTCAGATATAAGTTATTTATTCCCAACGCCATAAATTCACCCCACATTCTAGACTATATTGTCCGAGAAGAGCATGCCCGGCCGTTGAGCCGGTTCCAACAGACGTCGCCCCGAGATCGAGCCCACCAGACATGCCTTGTGGATTTCCGTATTATTCGCCGCGAACAAGCAGTAGCCCCATGTAACGTTTCCAAATAACACATCGCTTCGCTCGTCGTCGTCGTGTCGTCTTCGTCGTCGTTGTCTATTTCTTGCCGCTCTTCTTGATGCCCTGGGCACCCGTGTTCAGAGGGCCCTTGCCACCGGCCTTGGCGGCCATCTCCTTGCGCGCTCTCTCATCTACAAAAGATCAGTCTCTGCTGTCCATCGGTCTTGAGGCTGTCGATAAGGGAGTCACGTACCGGCCTTCTTCTTCTCGAGGTAGGCCAGGTCGTCCTCGTCGAGGTCCTTGTTCTGCTTCTTCGGGGCCTTCAAGGGCTTGGCCTTGCCGCCTAGAGGTCACGAGCGTCAGTCTCTCTTCATCTTCGTGGAGGGGTAAACTTTTGGGCGGGGTGGCAGAAAGCAGAGCGAGGGAATAATCACCTTCTCGGTTAGAACCACCCATGATGAGTTTGTGATAGGAAGAAGAAAATGGTATAGAGATGTAGCGTGGATGCTGCAGGAGAGAAGCGCAGGCAAAGAGAGCGCAGTTGTATGAAGCAAGTCGGTGATGGCTGGCAGATCGGCTGCGCCCCAGTAAAAAAAAAGAAAAAGGCCTCCGGCAAGGCTGAGCCCCGAAAAGGGCTGGCCGACCATCGGGCTGCAGGCTTACGTAACGCAGCGCTAGAGGACGGCAGCACCCCTGTAGCTGCTTCTCCAGAATTCGGTCTGGAGCGATGCGGAACAGAAACCCATTTGCCATCATCATCATCATCATCGTCACGATACGACGCTTCCCGATTCCGCTCCATTTGCGTCGTTTCAGTGACCTGACATCTCCTCTCCAAATCTCTTGTCTGCTGATACTCGTTTCGTTGAACCTCCTTCCTCACATCTCCCACAGAATCCATCGTGCTGGCTGCTGGCACCCTGGAGAGTCAAAACGTTGACCTGGTTGGACTCTTTGCCTGCCACACACCTTGCCTGTTGATCCATTACTGACCCGTCTCTCTGTCGACATTTAAAAGAGCCACAAGAGGCCAGGTGGCAGAAGAATTAGAAGAAAAGCACCAAAATGGCAAGCTCCGACGAGGGTGAAATCAGGGACCAGAGAGCTGGGGATTTGAAGGCAACTTCACTGTCGCACACAGAGAGAAACGGTGTTGACCGTCAAGACAGACAGCGGAATAGACATTCCTCGCCCGACTTCGATACCGCATCCAGATACAGCAACTCGTCGAGACGAAGCCGCTCGCCGCGCGGATACAAGCGCTCGCGCGATGACAGGGATCGCTTCCCAATTGCCAGAGCCCGAGATCAAGACTCTCGACGTGGCCGCGGCGGCCGCAACGACTACAGGCGAGAGGAGCACAAGAGATCGCGTATAGCGTACGACGACCTTGACCGCCCTTCCCCGCGCGGTTCGGACCAGAGCTATGACCACGACTGGCGCAGTCGCAGGGACCGAGAGCGCGATCGAAGTCGCGAACGGCATCGATTCCAACGCGGCCGAGATCGAGATCGATTTTCTGGACGTTCGCCGCCTCGCCATCGTCGAAGCCCTTCCCCTCGCCAGTACCAGCGTGGCGACCGGCGAGATGGCCAGCAATTCGTGAGAGAAGGCTACTCTGACCAACGCGATTCAAGAGAATTGCGGTACGACGACGCCGATTTGAGCGCTCGGGACAACAACTCTGCAGCTAGGAAAGACTCCGTAGGAGACGCAAACGAAGCAGTAAAAGATGATGCTAAAACTCAGAAGGATACTACTCAGAACGGCGATGCCGCTCCTGCCGCTACTACGAGGTGAGTGACGCTCCGCCTCTGTTATCCCCATCCTGCTCTCTAGCCTTCTTCCGTGTAGGGTGAAGCTGACTCAAGTCTAGTGATGTCCCGATGATGGAGGACTACGAAGAGCCCGAAGAATTTGATGAAGAAGCAGAAATCGAACGCCGCCGCAAGAGACGTGAGGAGCTTCTTGCAAAGTCCAGCTCTGCAACGCCTCTCCTCCGTCACGCTGTTGGAGCTTCCACTTCCATGACTCAAGCATTGTCGCCCGCCTCTTTCCAATCGGACACGCCGCAAATGTCCCAGCGATCAGACAGCAAGATGTCTCAGTCGCCGCGCTCCAGTAAGTTCCATATCACACGTCGTGCGTCGGCGTCGACTGACTTGCCAGGTTTCGAATCGCCTCGCTCGCCCATGTCTCAAGATGCGCCATCTCCGGCAGCCCTGGATCTGTTTGATGGCAAAGATTTGGTCAATTCACACGCTGCAGCAGCCAAAGCCAACGATGAAGACGGCCCCTCTGCTGCCGAATATGACCCTACCGTCGACATGATGGAGGATGGACGTAGAGATGAGCTGCGCCATGGACAAGTCGTCATCCACGGCGAGCCTGAACCTGCTGCGGCAGTTGAGCAGAACCCTGCCAAAGTGGTGCCCAGTCCGTCGCCGCAGAAACCATCTGCAGGCGAAGGAGAAGACGATGACGACTTTGATATGTTTGCGGATGAGTTTGACGAGGAAAAGTACGCAAGCAAGGCCAAGGCCAAGGAGACAGCAGCGCCAGACGAGGTAAATGAAGCGACAGAGGCCGTTGACAAGGGAGGCATTCTCGAAGGCGACGACAAAGACGGATATTACAAGATTCGCATTGGCGAGATTCTCAACGGTCGATATCAGGTCCAGGCCACGCTCGGCAGGGGTATGTTCTCCGGAGTCGCGCGTGCCGTTGACATCACCACCAAGCAGGTTGTCGCCATCAAGATGATGCGAAACAATGATGCCCTCCGCAAGGGAGGCTACACGGAGATTGCCATCCTTCAGAAGCTCAACGATGCGGATCCGGAGAATCGAAAGCACATTGTCAAGTTTGAGCGCTCCTTTGACCACCGAGGCCATCTCTGCATGGCGTTTGAAAACCTGAGCATGAATCTGCGCGAGGTTCTGCGCAAATTCGGCAACAATGTCGGCATCAACCTCAAGGCGACAAGGGCATATGCATACCAGGCCTTTGTTGCCCTGGCTCACATGCGCAAGTGCAGCATCATTCACGCTGACTTGAAACCTGACAATATCTTGGTAAGCGCTCATCGTAAGCTTTTGGTTTTCTGCTCTACATTGCTGACTTGCGATCCATTCAAGGTCAACGAGACTCGAAGCGTACTCAAGATTTGCGATCTGGGAACGGCTATTGACCGCTCTGATGCTGCAACCGCACACACGGAAATCACACCATATCTTGTGAGCCGCTTCTACAGAGCCCCCGAGATCATTCTAGGCATGCCCTACGATTACGCTGTCGATATGTGGTCCATCGGCTGCACTCTGTATGAGCTCTACACGGGCAAGATTCTGTTCACGGGAGACAGCAACAATCAGATGCTCAAGGCCATCATGGAGGTTCGCGGCCGGATTACTCCCAAGCTATATAAGCGCGGTCAGCTTTCCTCTGTCCATTTTGACGACCAGGGACAATTCATCAGCGTCGAGCGCGACAAGGTGCTTGGCAAGGTATGTGCAAACAACCGTCGACTCTACTCTCATCACAAGCAAGCTGTGGCTGATGACATCCAAACAGACGACACTGCGAACGCTCAACATCATCAAACCGACGCGAGACTTACGCGCCCGACTCCTTGCTGCCTCGAGCGGAATGGACGACGCGGAGAGCAGGGAGCTTAACCAGTTCATTGACTTGCTGGATCATTGTCTGGCCTTGAACCCTGACAAGAGGATCAAGCCTGCTGACGCTCTCAAACATCCATTCTTCGTCACCCGCTCTGGAGCTGCCCGGCGGTAGGGCCACCGGGTGTGAACATTGATGCGGTGGGGACTATACCAGTGCTCCTCTATGTTCTACACGACGTACAACGTGGTTCGACTTGGTTTTCTTTTCTTTTCACATATATACGTGGCCGCTCTGGTTGCTGGCCGATGCAAATGTGGGTTTCTATACTGTCGAAACTTCAAACTTCTGCTAACGTTCATGCAACCAGATCATCTGCGTGCGATGGTCTAAACTTGGTGATGAGAGACAATACTTTTGCTTCTATGTACAATTACGGAGATGCCAGCTGGTTCTTCATACGTGGATATAAGCCTATGATTCTCCATGCTGAACGACGGCTTCTTGCGGCTTTCTACTATTCTGCGTTTCCATACGATACATCTCGACGATAGTATACAAGAGATTTCACATACTTGGGCGGTAATGGTCAGAGGCAGGCATCGGATACACACTGTTTCTATACGTCTATTTTCTGTACGGTTTTCACTTAGGGGTTGCTCCTATAACTACACAATGTATGACTTTGATGAACCAAGCTGTAATGTGTACTACCTACCCTTACGAGTGGAATGCGTAATAAGGACGTTTGGAGGTTTGTGTGCGCCAAAGGGCGTAAGAAACGGGCAAGTTTCGTTGTGTAACGCTCCTCTATGGCACGTGTGCTCCGTGATAGAAGTGATACGTTGCTATCCTCGCCGGTTTCCGGGAGGACAAGGCCGAGCTTTGTGTCTTTCAATCTTGAGGAGAGAGAGAGTGTGTGTGTGTGTCTTGGATATGTTACTGCAAGAGGGTATGTGTGCTCACGATTTGAGAATGGATATCTGGTGGGATTCTGTGTTGCGCGAGAAGTGCAATGTGTGATGCGCGATGCGGTTGGGTACGTTTTGTGGCGAGTGTGTCGTGTCGTGTCGTGTCGTGTCGTGTTATTCTGGTTGAGAAGAGAATTGGGAGCTGGGGGAGCTGAAGGGGGTGTATTGGGATTGTGTGATTCTTCCTCTGTTCGGTTTCACGAAAGGGAAGCGGTATGTCTGTTGTGGCGTGGTGAGAGAGGTTGATTGGTCGACTGGAGTGGGATGACAATGTCTTGGAACGGGATGTAAGGCTTGAGAGGCTTGGTGAGTTCTTGCTTGTGATGCGGATGGGCAGTTTGTGTATGTGTGATGTGAGGATGGGATGGAATGCGATGAAAGGGGGGGGACGAGTCGAAAGGTGGCGGGTTGTGGGATGTGAGTATGGGTTGAGTGTTACGTTGGGTGAGGTAAGGTGAGGTGACAGTATGCTGTGAGATGTGAGGGATGTTGTAAGACGTTGGTGTGTTGTGAGATGGAGCCAATGCTGTGAGATGCATGTTGTGGAACGGGGGAGGGCGATGTTGTGTAAGTGTAAGAGCTTTTTGTGCCCGGGGCTAAGGCTGTGCCCTGGGAGAAGGATTCTGGGTGTTTCGATTTTCTGGTGCTTGGTGCTTGGGTTCTTGATGAGGATTGGGGGAGTAGGTGTAGGAATATGGATGGAAGGCTGTGTGTTGCTGGGGGAGGCGGGTGGCTATGCGAGGTGATGTGTGCTTTACGTTTTGTTTTGTGTTATATGATGTGCGAGATTATTGTTTCCTAGTGAATCACACTCGTTTGAGGGTGGTTTTTACTTTGTTACTGGTATGGCTGTGAGCAGTTGAGAATTTGCTGTAATGGATTGTTTGAGGGAGTGCGGTGATTGATGTCACGAGTGAGTGGTGGTGACGGGCCTCAATGTCTGAGCTGGCTGATTCCTTTATCCTGCTGAGGCTTTAATTTTTTCCATACGCTACTTCTAACCCAAATTTTACATCGATGAGTGGTTTCATATACGATCTCTGGTATTATCGTGATGTTTGTTCATCATGACGGTGGAGACTCATGCTGGATTCACCTGTAACTGACCTTGTAATCGGCTAAAGATGCCCCCCCTTTTGTGGCAAAGATGTGATGGATCAAGTAGTGAGCGCGAGCGGCATCAATGCCAAAGATCCTCTGGGCTCGGGAGGTGAAAGTAGTGGAGTCTGAAAAGCGGCAGAGGTTGGTGTTGTAAAGCGCTGCATACCATTCAGGGGCTCTGCTTCCTTGGCCCTGCATCTGCCTGCGTGGCATGGGAGGACGCTTGGTAAGGGAGAGGCTTGATGGCTTCAAGTAGATTGCCCCCTTATATCGGGCTGCCACTCAGCACGGCTGTCGGTAAGCGTATAGAGGTGGTGCTGGCTGGCTGGCTCGTCGTCTGCTTGGTATGGATAATTTGGGCTTACGGCGAGGATGCTGTGTCCCCCAATTTCGTGGCAAGAGTGGCTCAAGGCGAGGGTATTCAGTGGAAGGGGGTTTCGAAGGCAGTCGGGATAGGGTCTAGACTTCAGGAGTGCATATCACTATTGACGAATCATGGGGGAGTTTGAAGTGGCTGGAAGGGCCAAGACGCCATCGTGGCGGCACGTTGGGCACGTTGAGCACAGGAGAGTGATTGGACAAGTCAGAATCTCACGAGTCCTAGAGCATATACCTGGAACTCGGAAGGATGCCGTGCAGGAGCCTGCCAGTAATTATTTGATGTCTGCCCTATTACCGTCGTTCACGCATTTGTCTCTTGAACTGCTATTGGTCCCGGCTTTGTCTGGCTCAGGGGCTGGGCGTGTGGCGCTGGACGGGCCGAAGCGCCGGGTGTTGAACGACGGCTGAAGCAACTTCAAGTTGGATGAAGTTGGATGTAAATGAAGCTGCGTCGATTGTCACAGATAGACTGTTATCCCTGAAGGCTCACAAGATGGCTAGTAACGCCAGTGCTGACTATTGAACAGGAAACTCAAACATCGGCGTCAAGTCTACGATTTTCGAGGCAAGAAGACAGCGAGCGGGATATCACGAGCACAGAGATTATCAGCGGTTCAGTCGATGTTTTCTCATTCAGGCCATGCTATTCTCATATCTCATCCTCCATAATCCCCTGCATGGCTTTGCTGTCCTGAGTCCCTTGCTCATACCTGATTGTTTCCCATTGTATCATTTCCTCCCCATCCATCACTCATCATCCATCCATATCAGCAAGGAACCCCCGGGTGCCGCTTGCGCGAGGCCACATCTAAGCCCACTCCCAAGAAGCAGTGACACGGCCAAGGCCCAGGTCACCAATCACGCCATTGAACGCCGTAGGCGAGAGATCGAGGTCGTTCTCGGCGCATCCGGCGCAGCGGTCGACGACGGTGACCACCTCGGAGCGGCCCTGGTAGTTGATGCGGATCTTGCGGCCGCAGGGGTGCTCGCGGTCGTAGAGAGAGGCCGAGACGGCGGCGACGAGCTCGCCGTCGTTGTTGGTCTGACCGCAGGCGCCGAGGCCGGTGTTGTACCAGGTGATGGAGCCGGTGCGGTTGATGGTGGCGCGAGTGTTGGGCTCGGTGGGAGCGGCGGAGGTGGTGAGGGCCATGGCGATGGCGGAGAGGGCAGTGAGAGTGAAGGAGACCATTTTGTATGATTTGGGAGTGGAAGTGACTGAAGCGTTCAGAGGTTGGTGTGGAAAGGTGAGTGTTTGTGTGAGTGGTGATGGTTGTTGTTCTGGTGTTTGCTGTCGAACTTGGTGGGGAAAAGAGAGAGTGTATCGTGGGATTTCCCGGGATCTATATAGACAAAGACGCAGTCGGCTTTTGCTTTGTGTTTGCTTGATGGGCTGCTTTGTTGGCGGTGTATCGCGTCTTGATCCCATGTTTGGGCGGTGTATCTTGACCGAGGTGTTGGTGGTCGTGATGCGAGATGAAGAGAGTTTGATACCCGGTCTGTGGTGTTTGTGAGCTTATTCTGCAATTCAGGAGCCCTGGTAAATTCGGGTGAGACACCGTTTCACTGAGATTAAGTTGGAGTTTCCGGGGAAATGCGGTGGAAGCAAGGAGCAAATTCGCAGGTTGTGAGTGATGTGGTGGCTCTTGGGCTGAAGAGCTGGGCCTTGATGTTGGATTTCGTAATGCATGTGTGACTGTGATGTTGTCACTCTTGGAATATGACTCGATGCTTTACGGGGTTGAAGGGGTATCATGGCAGTCTGTTCTTGATGAGTGTCGGGCCGATGTTGGTGATGTTTGTGGTGAGGGCAGCATCAGGTGGACTCGATGAAAGTTTGCAGATTTGGCAATTGACATGCCAAGAGACAGTGATTGGGTAAGGTTCACCTTTGAAGAAGATGACCCCAGGATCATGTGAGGGACCTGCTCTTTAAGCATCCGAAAAGATATTCGAATAGCAGGTTGAGTATACTTCCACGCGACCTACCTATGAAGGTTGGCATCAACTACAGTCACAGTAAGCAGCTATATCGGGTAGCTATATCACGACCGAATCACCCAAATAGGCGTTTTGAGCAAATTCACATATATCTGCTTGGCAGATTTACTATAGCATGACTGCTCTGGAGCGATTCGATAAGGGGTAGCGGTGGCATGTGAAGCAGGGAGACCAGCTTGCAAAGTCAATAGGCTGCAGACTCGGTACATACAGAGAGCTCCCATCACCATGCTTCAGTTCAAAGTCGTTATTCGCCAACTGTACGAAGTATGCTTGCTGATCAATAATTGCAAGACTTGAATTCAGGGAACTCATAGCGTTATAGCACTGAATTGGACTGTTTTGGACAAGATGGCGACAATGTGGGCGACTCAATGTACAATGATGCATCTACACTGTCCACTATCAGCATACAACAACATGCCAAGTCCTCCTCTTCACACTTGAAGCCCTTGAAGGGAGTCTTTCTTTAAGTTGAGCTGTTGCAAAATATAGTGCTTGCAGGTAGAGTCATAGATAACAACCCCCCCGCTTGGGTTCGGCTTTTGATGCCGATCTAGGGTCTGGCCTCCACTTGGCCGACTCGCGCCCTTCCTGTCGTTCGGGGGTGATGCCGGTTCCTGTCGGTTCATCTTCTATTTCTTGTCTCGATAACGTCGCTTTAATAATAACGATTTGCATCCTTCTTTTCATTCGTATCACGACGATGGAGACAAAGATGCTCTGATGACTCTTCATGCTTCATCCACATTCTATATAAGAAGAGATCGGTGATGTGACAAGGCTTGTCCTGCAGCAAGCGCATCACTTCAGATCTAGAATCTCGGCAGTACTCCCAACAGCTTCGCCATCGGCTTCACATTCCAGATCGTGGCTCGAAACAATACCAACATCATGGGCAGCACCAAGGAACCCGACTTCATCATCTCCTCCATCACAGACGCTTCAGCCGTGGAAAAGCACCTCCCTTCGCTGCGAGTGCTGCTCCAGCACTGCGTCAACGATGAGCCCGAGATCTCATCCATCGGCTTCCTGGCGCCTCTCACCGATCACGCGGCCACCAGCTACTGGCTAGACCTACTGTCCTCCTCCGTCATTGGGCCCGGAGCAACAACCTCCTTGCTCATAGCAACGGCTCCAGGAAGCGACCAGGTCGTCGCTACGGTGCAGCTCGCACGAATGGCCAAGGAGACTCACGCTTACAAGGGCGAAGTCAGGAAGCTGATGGTGCATCCGGACTACCGGCGGCACGGGCTGGGACGAAGAATGATGGACGAGGTGGAACGGGTCGCGAGGGAGCAGTTTGGGTTGGAGATGCTGGTGCTGGATACGTCCAAGGAGACGCCGGCGAGGTGGTTTTACCTGCGGACGGGGTGGAACGAGTGGGGGATCTGCCCGGACTATGCAAAGTCGTCGAGCGGAGTGAAGCATGATTGCTCATTCTTTTGCAAGAGTTTGGTATGACACGAGGTACTTCGAACTAGATGATCAGATAGACCAAGACACCACGAGACCTCGATGCTTGACGACAACAACTGTCCTCTGCAGTCGTCAGCGCGTGGAATTATCATCATGATGCCCTGACACAGGCCATGTCTCAGCTGCAACTCGAACACAGCAACAAGACACGGCCCCACCCCGAATCTTCGGCCTCCGAGAGCTCCCCGGATCCGGGTCCGGGTCCAGGTCCAGGTCCTCACGGCTCCCGGTGGCTTCGACCTCCCGAAATTTCAGCCTTCGTAAGCTGACGGTGATGGGGATATAGGGGACTTTCCATAGTCGTCGAATCTCCACATGATGAGGGCCGCTAGCCCAGCCGTGCTCACTTTCAGCCTCATCAAGATCCCGTCTGTGAGACGGCGTGAGTCGTGGGGAAGATGGAAGTCATCACATGGCCTTTGCCTCGTCATCATCCGCCCATCACTCATCATTACTCGCAGCCGTTGGTCTAGTGGCAACGGCGATGGCATCGTCCCGATCTCTCACTCGGGATTTCGCGGATTCATTGCTTGTGCTTTCCAATAGGAGTGAGTTACACACGCGGATGGCTCAAAGCATGGCTTCCCGCTTCATCCTCCACGGTGACATCGGAGAGTTTTCGACACAGGGCTTACGGTGACACACGAAAAACCCGCTCGACGAACGGCAGCACTCCCACTTAGAGGCAGCATCATCGCTGTCTCTTACTCGATTTGCGTGCTTTCGGAGTCGCCACGCAGTCCGAAGAGGCAACTCTTGATGACTACGACACTCAGTTCCCGCAGCTCCCGCGTCTTTTGTGGATTTACAAAAAGAGAAAGGCCTCGTCTCGAATAGGCATGAGAGCGGCAGAGCTGTTTTCACATCGGCACGCCCAGAATGTCACTGTGGGATTACGCGATGCTTTGATGAGAGACACGGCTCAGTGGTGAGCTACGGACCTGGTCGTTCTGTGGTGGCCTTACTGTGCTGAACAGTAAGGGACTGTGCACTGACATGCTCCGATGGCTCCGGAGTGCGTGGGATAACGCGGGATGAGGGAACGGGAAGCTGCTCTCATGAGGATGAGTTGGTTTCGCGAGGTGTAATGCACGGGAAGTTGCCTGTCGGCGTGTCATTGAGCGGATGACCGGTGATAAGAAATGATGCTTCACTGATTTTCCTGGTAAGATGACTTCTATGGAACCCAGGCGTCTAACAATGGTCTTACTAGAGGCCTCACCGCGGTGAGCAGCCGGCGATAAGTGGACGAGTCTCCGATGGAAGCATTCCGATATGGAGGTGACAATGGCATCTCGCCATCCAGATCGCCATGAACTCTGTTGGTCCGTCTCTTCTTCCTCATTCTTGCTCAACACTACCGGTGTTTAGCCTCGTGGAGCCTCGAGCAGTCCCTGTCCAGGTGAGAAGCAAGTTGGTTGGATGTCGCAAGAATAGCCGCATTCCACGCTCTGGGCACTTCTGAACTCTATTCTCTCTACTTGACTCTTCCATACAACCACTGATTCTTATACGGCTTTCAGACTATTCTTTCCGCTAGTATTTCTCTCTTGTCTCATAGATTCTCCGTCCATTTCTCCTACTGATCTAGGTGAATCCCCGTTCAACTACAACCCAAGTGGCAGATATATCGAATATAGCTTCACCACCGCCACCGGCCTTGTCGTCGGTCCACATACCGAAAGCTTGCCTCCTTGGCTGTCTCAGGAGAAGGTTCCTCTATAGATGACAAATGAGGAGTCTTGCTTCTGTTCCCAGATATTCTTCGTCGACCGGGCTGAGTCGGCGGCCGCGACGCCATCCCGAGGCAGCGAGAACCTGACTTTGGGCGACAGCCGGGCCCTTCACTTGGGCGTCCATCTCTTTTGGGCTTTGTTGATTTGACTTTCAGCCTCGTTGCGCTGCCTTACAAAGCACATTGCCACCACAAAGATCATAAGTTGGATCTCGCTCCCGATCAAGCACACGGATCTCGCAATGAATGGCTTGAGGTTCTATCTAATGTCCAGTCTGGTGGATGCAGGGAGGATACAGTACGAGATGTCTTATACACAGAAAACAGCCACCGGAGACCTCAAACTGTGCTGCCGTGGCCACCAACAGCACCTTTCAACATACACGCCCCCCTGGGTTCCATTCCAGTGCACTGGGATCGGGACGGGCTGGAAGCTCACTTTCTCTAGAGCTTTGCAGCACGGCGTGACGCCTTTGGCGTTCCGCCTCTACGTAGTAGTTCCTGAGTGTTTTGGCCTTCGCATTCGGGTAGAACACAGAGTGGACATGATGCACTGTGGCGGGTGAATGGCCTATCTGACCCCAGGGAGTATGTACAAGACACCGTCTGGGTACCATCTATCCGCAGCCCAATGCTCTGTCGTGGCACGATGCCCAAGTCCTGAAGAGGGAGCGAGTACAATGGCCCGACTACGGGGGAGATGCAGGCTCCATGGCTGGCCCAGTAATGTTTCTTTGCCGATGATATCGGCAACATTTCTGTCGTCGGCAGATGGCCCTGGATTACATGTGCCCAGATAACCACCAGTGACATCCTCACTGCTCGTCGTCCATGGTCGGAGTTACTAGTAATAGGTAAACTCTCACTTCTCAGCTCTGCAATCTCATCTGTAGCAAGTCGACTGCAGGTGGATCTCCTTCTCCGCGGCAACAAGCAATAAGCACTCAGTTTCTCACTGCTTTGGCTCCTTCGGGTCCATGGCATGTAACATCGAGGCCGACATCTCTCACCGCGAATGTGGAGAAGCCGGCAGTTGCATGTTAGCTCCTCACTTTGAGAAGGATACCTGATACTGTAAGATACTATGTAGCCAGCAAGAGCTTCACCCAATCATTGCTGCTATGAGCAGGGGCATCTCTGACCGCATGCTGCGCTTGTATGCATGCAAGGGCCGGTCTGGACGTGATTGCTTGTTCCGCGGCCCTAAGTATCTTTGTGTTGTACAATCTCGGAGCCCTCCGTGATACCCCATACTCTGAAACTCGGTGCAAATCACACAAGATGCTGCTATGTGCTGTATGCACTTGATCCAACCAGCCCTTTGACTGCATCTTGAAAGCAAAAAGAAAAGCGTGAGATCCGCCTGGTGGCAAATCATGTAACCTTGAGATGACATTCATGCCTGAGAGTGCTGCAAGCGAGAAGCCTGTCGCCCTTGGGCCCTGACAGCAGGCAATCCAATCATCATGGGTTATTCCTCGGCTTATACGGAAGAAAACAAGACATGCCCAAACTTGGCAATGCAGAGCAGCCCAAAGGCAAAGACAGAGCAAACAAAGCAAAAGGGCTCCTCGAAGCGAGCGAGCCTGCTCGAGCCTATCAACTGTCAACTTTTGATCCTTCTCCTCCTCACCACGGCAACACTCCTAAATATGAGAGCTCATAAAGACAAGCAGCAAGATAATACAAAAACTCCTACACCAAAGGCATCAGAGCAGAGGCAAGTCCACTATTTGCCACAAGAAGTAAGCACCGCATCTGCAGCTCCGCGTGCTGCCCATTCGTGTCACCAGCAGTAGCGCAGCCCGAGTCTATTGAAAAATGCCGCCTGACTCCTCTTTGCGTGCCTGGCCTTGCCGTCGTGATCGTGACTGGTAACATGGGCGAAGGTTCTCTGCATGCATTGTACATGCTGCTAGCATGGGGGGGGGGGGGGGGGGGGGGGGGGGGGGGCATCGCAGGACTGCATGTTCACTGCTTTGCTAGCTGTAGGTATGAGTACTACATACGATTACGGAGCAGTACTAGCAAGTATGGGGGATGGGTAATATGGGGGAGAACAAGGAGAACCCCCGAGCAGCTCCGTTGCAGACGAGAGAGACTCCAGGCACTGCAGCTTTCTCAACTTCGGTTCGCTATCCCCCAGCTTGCCCGCCCCGGATTGGCCGCAGCGAAAATGCCCGTTCATGGAGAGACATGCATGGAGACACACGATGGCAGCAAAGTGGTGCGCATACGTGGCGGTGGCAGAGTAGCAGGTGGAAGCATGGCTAGGGGGGGGGGGCGGGTTTCTGCTCATCATATGAGTGTTTTTCTTTTTTTTTTTTCGCTTGCGTGGTTCCGTCTTGCATTGGATTCATGCGGATTTTCATGCAAGGACGGACTGGTCATGTCTCAAGCTTGAGATTCAGTCGAGGCCGTGAGGAGTGGCTTGTGATGCCTATGGAGCGAGATGGAAGGGGGGGAGAGTCTGGGCGAATCTGCCTCTCCCTCCTGCGCTGCCCCCGTCTGCGCTGCCTCTCTGCAGGTCGACCTTTCGCATCAGCATCATCTTCTCCATCACATCCCATCATCGGCACTCTGCAGTTCCCCTCAAAGATGCGGCACGGCTTGACTCAACGTCCGTCCTTTGCATTAACAGGGAAGAATGGGCTGCGTAGTCACAGTCACAGCCGCAATCGCAGCAGCAGACGCCTTGCTCGCTCTGGCTCCTCATCAGCATCGTTCTGACGCCCCGCGTCTCTTCTTTCGGGGTGCCAAGTGCCTGCAAAACGTAAGAAAACAGAGCACTGATTGTCACCATCAGCCGGCCCCGAGTCATTCCTGGCGCCCTTTCAGCCTTCAGCTGAGCTGCCCTAAGAATATCCTGCTCAACCTACAGCGACAGTGTGCTGCTAGCATCCCTCCAAGCGTTATCCCGGCCGCTGTCAACCGTTGTTAGTTTTCTTCGCTTCTTTTTTTTTTCAGCTCGTTGCAGAAGCGGTGTGATTGAACGTTTCCCCCCCTCATATCACCCATTGTCCTTCACCCATCATGCGCTACTATGAATAAGAACGGGTAAGACAGGTGACAGAGACCAGGAATAGCTCATTCCCTCGCCGTGATTGGGTTCTGTTGTTCTACTACCCCGTAATCCGTGCGTTTTTCTTTTTCTCCCTTCTTTCGTTGTCCTGGCCAGGCTGCCATGCGCTCGGGGTGACAGGGGGGGGTTGACCCAACCAACAACCAAAAGACACGAGAAGAACCTGAGGAAAAAAGGAAAGGCAACGGTAAGGCCCAGCCATCGTCATCTTTCTCCGCTAGAATCACAGTCAACCCCGGTCAGAAAGGTGACCGATGCAAAGAGAGACACAGGAAAACCTTGTCTAGGCTCTCGAGCCATCAACCCTTGCTGCCGTGTCTCAAGGTCCCGTGAGGCGCCATCCGACGAACCCATCATAAACATCATCAGCATCAGCATCATTAGCAAGGGGGGTGATTGGTTTTTTTTTTTTTTTGTCTTTCTTTTTTCGTGCTTCTTTGTTCCGTTTTGGTTTTGCTGGATTTTGGGCTGTGATTATGATCATCTTGCCTTGACGCAAGGACCAAGATAGCTCGACAGCAATGACAAGAGAGCAAAGAGATGACACTACAGGGACAGGAGCCGGCTGACATCGTGCATGCTTACCTTACTTTGTGTTTGTCTTGTTGTTACACAGGCCAAGGACCCTACAGACTCCATGGAGTGGTGCATGGCTGCTGCTCTCCGACTTGTAGAGAGCCCTCGTAGAGAGCCAACATGGCAGTGCTTCAAGCACAGCTACAGAAGCAGCAGCACACAGCATTTCGCACCGCTTGCCAAGTGCTTCCCCCCTTAGCATAGCCCAGATGGCTGGATATCGACTTGAACCATCACAGCCCCCGCCATCCGGGGCTCCTCTTCCTCCGCGGTTCTTGCTTGTACGAGTATGAAGTATGTAATTATACAGAGCAAAACACGCAAGGGGAATCTCGCGGCTTCGCAGCCCTCCCGACGAGCGAGCATCCAGTGATTCCCAGCAGCACCACTAGCAACTCCGCCAGCCACTAAAATCCTTCTTCGCCCTGCATCCAACAACACAAACAACGCAGTTGGCCTCGTTGTTTCCTTGTCATTGTTGCCGCTAGACACCAATCTGAAAAAACCAGACCAAAAAGCCAGGCCTTCGATAGTACAAGCACAGTTAGCCAAGCAACCTTAGTCCATGTGCTATTACGCAGTTGATTCATTCATCCGGACTGATGACGCCCGTTTCTCCCTCCCCCCTGGAACCTGTGAGCCAGAACGCCAGTGCCAGGCCGGGGCCCAAGCGGAGAAGGGAGGGAGGGAGAGCGAGAGACGCTCAGACATCCGGGACGGCGCCTTCAGCCTTGATCCCAAAAATCCCAATGGGCTGGGGCACCAAGACAAGCCCCCCGAAATAGAAGGGGAAGGGAAGAAAGAGGATCAGCCCAGCCATCAATGTCTGAGCTTTATTTTTTTTTCCTGCCGGGATGGATGACGCTGCGCTCCCTTGTAGTATTTGCTTCCTTGTCTCTGCTGCCCCCCTTGCTTGGGTATCTGCGTCAATTGAGAAAAGTCCCTTGCTTTCTGTCAAGCTGCCCTGCTTCTACTGTACTGAAAAGGTGTGTGAGGAGAGAATATTACTTCATACATGCACATGCAGCAGATGATCAAAGGGAAGAATGTTTCGATCATTGGACTGTTTTTGGCTCACCAAATCAAGTTTACAGCGTATACACCTTCGCAACTCGTGCAGGCATCCTGACATGCTGCTGGGCACATCACCATCAGCTTCGATCCTCTGCATATCCTTTCTCCTCTTCGTCTCCAACCTGCATCATATCAGACCAAGAGAATCCATCCATGACCACATACCACCCGCCTCTCTGGCGATAGGCACCATTGCCCACCCTTGCCGTCCCTCCCCAAGACCAAGTTCAAATCAAGTCAAGTCATACTGTACGTTATCATCATCGCCATCCTCCTGCTCCTCATGAACCCAACCCTTGGCAGCCGTGCAAATCGCCCCAATCATCGCCTCCCGCCTCACACACCCCAACTTCTCTACCCAGTCCCCTGCTCATACCTACCCAAGCCAAGTCACTGTCACTCCAAATCTTTCTTAACCTCCATGACCCAGAGGCTTCTGCCGCCTCATTCGTCCAGCATGAAATAAGCCCAGCCAAACTCCTCCTTCTGCCCCCCCCCCTGCCCCCTGCCTTGTGCTGTAAATGATGCATGCAACTTCATCCATACCAAAACTACGGCCGCTACTACACCACAACACCATCATCTGTCCAAGCTTCCCCCATGCTGCCCAACCAGGCACGATTCTCGCCACACCTCCTTGCACTAGCATCTTCTCCTTCCCTTCCTTGACGAAGTACAGTACTGCAATACTACGGGGGGGAGGCAAAGAAGAAGGCTTCGCTTCTAATCTCCGGCTTTGGGCTGCCCATTTCCCCATACACGCGGCATCCAATGGCATCCCATATCCCGCATCAGACAGCCCACACGCTAATCCATCTCGAGGCGTATTCATGCCCAGCACACCACCACCAGTGCCTTACCTCGTACGTAGCTACATACATGGCACGTAGGCTAACATGATGAAATGGAGAGCTTTGTGTGGTATTGATGCTTGCTTGCTTGCTTGCTTGCTTGCTTGCTGCTTGGTTTTCTTGCCTCTGGCTTCGTTTCCCGTGCAGATGCAGATGCATTGCAGTAGGCTGAATACCACCTCACCACACCACTTCACTTCATCCATGTCGAAAGCAAGGCAACAAGGCTTCTCCAACTCTGCCTCTGCCCGAAAGCAATCTCATCCCCTCCCTCCATCCTTTCTCCATCTGAACAAGGGCCTTGTCAGTGAGAATGAACCCTTCCTGGCCCCTTGCTCTTATCCAGTCATACAAGCAAACGTCCGTTTATGATAACATCATCTTCTAATCAGTTCTCCGTGGTGCATACACAGTTGGAGCCCCTCTCCGCAGGGGGGCTTGACGCCTCTTGCAAGCCATGCGCCTCCTCCTCCTCCTCCTCTTCTTCTCACATCATCAATCAATCAATCAATCAATCAATCAATCGCTCTCCCTGCCCTTCCCCGCGACTAATCCCATCCCATCCAAGCCGCATTTCTCACAAGAATCCATCCAATCCACGGCGCCTCATCCCCCACATGACCACATAGATTAACACACACACACACACATTTTCTCTAGAGCTCTAGGTATGAACGAAACGCCACCAACAAGACGGCCAGGAACCCCAGACCTGACCCGGTGGCTTTCGTTTTACGACTTCAAGTTCCAAAACCACCTCGCCTGCTTCAAGCCACGGAAATGTGTATAAGCTAAATTTTGTGTCGTCTGTGGTATGTGGCTTATCAGTTGGCTTTCCCGCCGCCTTTGGGTCAAGTTCCATCGAGAGAAGCTTGTTAGCCTTCCACATCATCGGGCACACTATCTACGTAGTCTGTAGTTTCGCCGTCTGGTCATAGCTTTGCCATGGCTTTAGTAGTTGTAGTGTATTCATGAGCCTGTTACCTATCCTACCTACACACGAAGAGCAGAAGAAGACAAGAGAAAGGAAGAATACCATGTCTCCCATGTTACTCCTGAGCATCTCCAAGCAGAACTACTACAAGACATCGATCGAAACGTAATCAACTCTCTCACACAGCCCCCTTAGCCCACAGGTCCATTCCCCCCCTCCAGAATACACGGCTCCTCCCCTCTTCGTCCAAGTCCAGCACACAATGTCGTCAAGCCGCCCCAAACTTGCACCCCAATCCAACGCACTCCAATCCAATCCTTCTCTCTGTCTCTCTCTCTCTCTCTCCCACCCCGGAACCTGCGGCCACTAGCTAGCTCAGGGGACGAAAAGTGGCTGCGCTGGAATCCTGGATCGTCCATTCGCGTAGCGGGCTCACTAACGGTCGGTCCTATGTAAGTGCAAAATTGGCGGCCCCATTCTCAAGATTCGTTCGTTTCGATCGATGCTTCGCTTTCGATTGCTTCCGCGCCAGAAGTGCCACTAATGAGATCAATGGCCGCTTCGGTGGCCCCCCCAAACTTCAGACCCCAAAAGTTCAACTTGTCGATCACCAGAAGAGAGAAGCTAGGTAGGTTTACCAGCCACAGAGCAATGGTCATTCTCATGAAGGTGCAAAGAGTAGACAGTATAATCTAATGGTGTCCTAAAACGTATATTTGGTTTGGAGGCTTGAGATCATACCCAGCCTCCTTCTTCTGGTTCAAAACGTGGTTTGCGGTAGCGATTTGAGCTGATCCGCGGGGGCTACTGAGCCCATCTTCTATCTTTGTGTTCCATCTTCCCCAAGCAGGTACACCAAAGCAGACTCAGTGGCCAATTTGCCCTGACAGTCTTTGCAGTTCTCCATCCCAAACAATTCTTTTCATATCCCATCCATAGACATATGAAATAAACCAAAAAAAGAATTGGCAGCCCGGAAACTGCTTCCTTGCTCCCAAAGAAAAGAACGAATGAATGCGTAGCAAAAGAACAAATAAAGCCTCCTCATCAAAGTGTTTTGTGTTTCGTCAAACGTCGTTTCCATCAAAATAAAACTTGGCAAAAAACTCCCCGTCTTTCGGTTTTCCCAGTAAAAGAAAAATCGCAGTGTGTATACCTTCTTTCTCCCATGTAAAACTCTGTGCGCCGGAACTGATGCCTTTGATGCAAAAGTGACACGCTTCCCAAACTCCTCATCCTGTAGGTCCGAACAAATAAAAAGAGAAGAAACGCCCCGCTATAAAGGAAACTGCGCTTCAAGGCGAATATGTAGTAGAAGAGAATAAGTAAATGTCGAATGAACGAATGTCGATGAATCGAGAATTGAACAATAGGCTGGGCGCCTCACTGGGAGATGCCCAGATTGTTGTGTTTTTGTCGCCTTGAATCCTTATTAGACGCCTTTGTTTTCTCCAAAGGTCTGAAAGAAGCGAGAAGGATTAAAGTAGTAGTAAGTCAGCCAGGTCCTGGCATACGAAGTTGTTGTCCCTCAGTAGCAGCCGTGGAGGGGGGACAAGAAGGAGACCTGTTGGTGGAAAGGCACGTGGCTTGGCTGCATCATCTGCACATGCTGAACGTATTTGAACATGTCCACACAGAAAGGCAACAGCGACTTGAGCTGGTATCCAGGCTGCGTGGGGATGGGAGCCTGGATAGGTGCCGAGGCTTGCTGACAAGGCACATGTTGCAGAGGAGCTGCCGGCGCAGGAGGAGGAACCATGTGGGCATGCGGGTGCAGTAGAGGGACGGGGACAGGACCAGTGTACTGCTGGGGCACGAACTCGTGGCCCTGGTACACGGCTTGCTGCGCGTCGAGCTCTTCCGATTCGTATGCCTGAGGAGGGATGTACTCCTGTGGCAGATCCTGGTGGACGGACATGTAGTCGTCCTCGTCCTCGTCGGTGTCAAGGTCGTCGATAGTCGACACGCTCGAGGCCAATGAACCTTCGGTGGATGAGGACGAAGCAGACGAGAGAGCCGAGTCGCATTCATAGTCGTCGACTATGGCGTCCTCGTTGGAAACGTATTGGTCTGGGGTGGAGTGGGGTGTGGGCACTGCAGGCACGGTGAACTGGGAGCAGGCCATGATCCTCTTTCGCAGCTCGGGAAGTGTGATGCGGTGCTCAGGGTTGGGGTTGAAGATGCGTCCCAAGATGGCGTTGAGCTCATCGGTCAGCGGGAGGATCGTCTTGAGAAAGTCCTGCGAGCGAACGTATGCCCGGTAGGTCGAGTCTTGGAAGGAAGCCTGCTTCCAGGGGTTGCGTCCGCAAGTCAGATTGACCAAGATGACCCCCAAGCTCCAGACATCATTGGGGGCGCACATGTAGTAGGGCTTTCTCGCGGAAGGGTCCAAGCACTCTGTGAAGTCAATCTGGCGTTAGTCAATGGCACCTTTATACTACCTGGCAGGGGAGGCAATAATTACCTGGACTCATGTAAAAGGTTGATCCGCAGCCGTAGTCCTCGGAGCGGTCCTCACTGGTGGCCAGTCCAAAGTCGGCCAGCTTGACCGTCTCGCCATTGTCGGTGACGAGGATGTTCTCCGGCTTGAGGTCCCGGTGGTAGATGCCGAGGTTGTGGCAGTGCTCAACGGCATCCAGGATCTGGAGGAAGACCTTCTTGGAGAGCTCATCGTTGCCAACGTACTGGCCGCGCTCGGTGATGTTGGAGAACAGGTCGCCCTCAGGGCAGTACTCCAGGATCACATAGATGCAGTCAGGGTCGTCAACAATCTTCATCATGGACACCACGTTCGGATGCGCCGAAGCGAGGTAGTGCAGGCGAATCTCCCGCTGCTGGTAGGCAACCTGGCGGCGTTCCAGCGGAGTTCCATCGGCATTGTACTTGCTCAGGCACTTGACAGCATACTGAACTCCAGTGTTGATATCCAGGGCAGTGTAGACGACGCCGTATGCGCCGGTACCAAGGATATCAGTGAGCTGGAGCTTGCCCTCGAGAAGCTGTCCTAACCGCTGCTCTGGGGCAAGGGGTACACATCGGGGCTGGAAAGTCCGTGTAGCAAAGGGCTGTTGGACGTTGCACTTGAGGTTGTCGTACGCGGGAGAGGCCGGGGGAGTGGGATATCCGTACGGGGCATGGTGCTGCATGTTAAGCGACTTGAAGGGTATAGTCTCCAAAGGGGTCTGTTTGTCCTCAAGAGCTCAAGTCGAATAACCAGATCCGAAGACGGAGACGATGATTAAACGGATAGGAGAATAAGAAATAGAAGAGAAAAGAAAAGGATGCCTTTTGATTGGAGTGGGTTGATTGGCTTTTGTTTTTCTTCCTTAAGGGGGGATTTGTTGTCGGGGACTTGTGTGTGAGAGATTCCGTAGTATAAATCACAGGTCGAGGTTCCAATGGGATACCAGAAGCAGCCGCATAAGTGAAAATAAAGTTCTCGAACAGCCGAATGAACGGGTCAAGAGCGGCGTTGTTGAATTGTCAACGGCTTCAGGATATCGAGGCACCGGACAAATAAGAGAGGATAGGAGAGTGAGATGGCCTGGAATCTGTAAAGTCCAGAAGGGAAAAGGAAAAGAGAATCGAATTGGCGGCAGAGAGGAAGATGGTACGTTGAAGGAATGTCGTGAACGTGGTGATGCGTGTAAGTGACCCTCGGCCGAGAGTGGGCAACATCAGGTAGATATCAAACCGCACCTCGAGACACGGCGTGAAATCTGTCCAGACTAATGGCGAGGCGACAGAAGAAACGTACCCTTGTCTCTTGGTCTCGGGGGGCTTGCGAATTGCGCGGAGCCACACCAAGCAAGATCCACCGCCATGGAGAGCTCATCAGACCCCGGTCTTTTTTGGAAGAGATGAATGGCATGGGTGGTGTCTAGGTGGCCAGGGGGGGGGAGGGGGGTTGCCACAGTACATGATGCGCCAGCTATTCTTAACCAGCGCTGCAAGGCTCGTTCGACAGCCTTGGTCAAGAAGCGGGACTAGTGAAGCAGGGATCGTAGCGCGACGCTGAGGAATACCTTGTACAGGTATACGAGGATGCTCTGACACACCAAATGAAGCGGTTCGCTGGACTGTGCGAAGTCACTGGTGTGTCATCCGCCGCTGCTCGCCCTCCCTCCCTCACACAAGAAGATGCCACTTCGCGCACGCCCCAAGCCCCCTTCGACATGCTCGGCTGGCACTAGCGACCCTTGGTTCCACGTCGAGGTTGGGTGGCCAAAAAGCTAACACTTGGGCGAGTCCAGCACCCCCCCAGCCAGTCGGCTTCGACGGTGTCACAGGAGGAAGATTGAGCCGCCGTAATGGGGCGAGGTTGTCGGATCTGCGGCGGGCTACAGCATGTCACACCCTTTCATCAACAGGCCGTGCGTTGCTCGCACTGCTCGACATGACTGGCTGGCGTCGCCTCCCACCACCCAACCCGCTCGCTGCCAGGCCAGAGGCGTCATGGTCGGCCGCGTGACTGGCATGACCTTTGCGTGAGAATGTCGAAGGGGAAAGGCTCGACTCGCACCTGTAGCCGCTCCCCCTTCTGAAGCGGTCGACAGTGTGTTGGAGTGTGCCGACTGGAATGGGGACGGGAGATTTCGATGGAAGTCCGTCAGGCCACCGAACATGAGGCTTTCCGTAGCGGACGCCATCAGATGGTGACTCTGCACGGGTCTGGCGTTGTCTCCGCACTGTCAACAAGGCACTCGTGCCGTGGATTCGTACAGTGCATTTGTCAGTCATCCTGCCAGCATCTGTCCTCCTCTCTCTCTCTCTCTCTCTTTTCCCCCCGTTGCTCGTTTGCTCCAACGCCGGGTCTTCCTCTCCCGCTGCCTCCCCCATTTCTGGCTGCTGGTGCAATGGCAAGCGTCAGTGCGCTCGCCCACTGGCTGGTTCTTCTCCCTCTCCCTCTCCCAGCGAGGCACGGCATGCAAACATGCTGACCCTCAGCATTGGGGCGCCATGGTGGGTAATAGGCAGCAAGCCCGACCGAAATGCATGAAGCAATGCTGCCTGCCTGCCTGCCCGCCCGCCCGCTTGTCTGCCTGGCTACGCTTTCGTGTCGCCTCTCTTTCTGTCGGGCCATCGAAGGCGAACTCAACGGCAAGTCATTTGACACGAAAGCCATTACCCGCAATACTGCACATGCTCGTACGTGTACCTCGCGTAGAGAGCGTTGCTTCGTTCGTCCGCTCAACATGAGCGGGGACGGCTGCTGCTTGTGCAGATCAATGGCTGCAAGCGGCCATGTCAACCCGGCAGCAAAGCCTCGCAAGAGAGAAACCGAAGCAGCATCTGTTCAGTGGGCTTGGGTAGGAAAACTGCATTGCAGGCGTCTGCCACCTGCAACCAAAACAGTAGCAGTAATACTACTTGCAAGCGGGTGAGTGAGTGTCTGTCACAAAGCAGCATGGGGCCCTGAATGCGTAAGAATCAGTTGGCACTGTGGTTTCTCCGCCGTGCAATGCGCCTGTGCATGCATTCCCCATCGATGGTGATATTGACGGCCACCGCAAACCAATGGAGAGGCCAGCCTTTAGACCTGCTGTGGAAGAAGTGGTGACGGCTGCTGCGATGTGACTGGCTCGAAGTGACTCGACGTTATGCGACCCAAGTCCACACCCTGGCACGGAAGTGCAGTGCCTGTTGCCAGCACGGTATGAAAAGGCCCCGTTGGCAGCTCTGCTTTGTTTGCGCCTTTGTATTTTACGTGCAGACTATGCCGCCGTGTCAGACAGGAGGATCCAGGAGCGTAATAACGAGACTGCCGGATGAACCTGTGCAGCGCTCCTGTTTCTGGCCAAATCAGAGGGCGAAACACCACAAGACGCAGCCAATGGAATGCCCGAGGGATGCAATGCAGCTTTCCAAGAATACTATTAGGCGCCATGTGGTCGAACAACTCGGCCGGTGTTGGCATCAACATGTCCCTCTGCGCTGGCGGCCCCTAGTGGACGCGGACGTGTACACGATGGGATTGGAACGAGGAGCCCAGGGGAAATGGGTAAGTCAGCGCGGGCACAACTGGTGTTTGCTGGAAGCGAGAGCTGGCCAGTCCGATAATTAGATGGTGGAAATACAGACAGGTATGTGTTTTACTTGCTCACTCGGTCGTCCTCCACCTTTGCCGTGCTGGACAACAAATCCACCCCGGGGCCGCATACTATCAGGAAGCGGGAAGGGAGAGACCAGCCAGCAGGCGAAGGAGCCCCGTGTGAACACGGGGCAATAAACGTGGCCACCATCGCCCGCAGCAGAGATGGGCCAACAACTGCTCAGCCGATGGACCACACACGGCCGTTGGCCTAAAGCGGAGGCCTGCATCGGCTCGCGGCATCGTCGTCTGATTGGGTGCGTGATGCCAGGCACTTCACTTGGAAGAATCTCCAGTCGACCAGGAGCTGCACCAGACCAGAAGCGCAAGGTCTCCCCATCCGAAGTCATCTCTACCTGATGAGAGGCTAATACTAGGGCCGCACAGTGCTGGACAGTACCTGCGCGAGCGCATAGTGCAGTAGTGAGCGAGTACTGTAGTATGTTCTACTACCAGTATTAGTACAGTAGTAGCATGCGATAACACTTGACCAGCCTTGTCTTCGTTTGAGAGCAATCTCAAGCGGACAAGGGAGCAGAGGCCCCACGCCGAGCCGGGCAGTGTGAGGCTGTTCTTCGGGACCCGTTGCGGTTGCATCTCCATTTGCTTGCTGCTGCATCCATGGTGCTATGGGGTTGAAGAAGGAGGCGTCCAATGGCAAGGGCTCTCAACGGGATGGTCGGATATTGGCAGTCAACCTGATGCACTTGGCAGCCGCCATTGGAGCCATTGGAGCTGGCCTGCAGATTGACGACGGCGCCCAAGCAGGATTGGTGCAGCATTTGCGGCAGAGGTGGTGGGCCGCGGGCCACTGATGGCTCTTTGTTTGGTTCGATTCGATTCGATGTTTTGTGCTGCCCATCTCATTCGCACCAGCAGCGACTACCGAGGTATGGAGCACTCGTGAAGTGTAGAAACCCCCGTGCGCTGTGTATACTTTGTACACGTAGCACGATACGCCGTTACGTTAAGCGCTTGGTCCTGTTTCACTCGTCAAAACAACAGCCCAGAGCAATCTGACGACAGGCTGCTACGGTGCACGAAGCACAGGACGCAGAACGAGCCACATACCTGCAACCCTGCCGATTGCCAGAAGGACAGGAAGCAAAAAGGAAAGAAGCAGCGATGAAACCCATCGGCTATCAGTGTCTATGACCAAGCTGGCAGATCGCCGTGCGGATCGCAATCGAAACGCAAGAGCAAGCACAAAGAAGAGGACCCCCAACCCGAGCCAAGACAAGACCCCGTCATGTCATTTCTCGCCCACCCATTCGTTGACTCGGTCAGGTTCACGCTCGCTGGCAAGGAGGTGCCAGAAGCCGAGAGCCCGTGCTCGCTGGGTCATGCAAGTAGACACACTGGGACCGCTGCCAACTCGCGAGAAAAGTGTCATGGTCGGTGGCACGGCAGGACGAGATCGGCGGATCCTAGCAGAGGGCCGCGAGCGAGTGAGAGGATTCGCGCTGAGTCAAAAGAGTCAAAAAGACCGCACAGGCCACGCAGCAGGGAACAGAGAGGCAGGGGACAGGGAGCAGGCGAGCAGAGCAGAGCAGCAGCCCCTTGCACCAAGAGGGTCGCGATCGAGGTCGTGCTTTGGACCAAGGATTCTAGCAGGGGGGGCTAGACCGGAGGCGGCTAGATGCGGGCGACGAGAAGAGCCAAGAAGGAAGACGAGAGAATGATCCCTGTCGCAGCTGGTGAGGGTGGACAAGAGGAGCAGCCTTGGAGAACGACGAGAAGTGAGAGAGAAGGAAAAAGGAGACCGGCGACAGATGCAGCCCAAGCCCAAAGCAGCACTAGACCGCCTGTTTGCGCTGGCCCGTACTGGGTACCTGACGCCACGTGCGGATACGCGATCAGGCGCACGGACTAGCGTTTGGGATGCTGAACTGGCAGCGGAGACGGAGAAACTGCGGCCGCAGACTGTGTACGTGGCTGCGCACGTGTACAAATACACGCATTATTGTTTCTTCGCCCAGGAGGCGTGTCGAGCTGGAGTCAGAAGTGGAGCAGTCATGCGGCGAGGAGCCAATGAGAGGGATGACACAGGCGGGCTGCCCAGGGTTCTATTGAGATCTAGACAAACTCTATCGAGTCACGACTCTGCCTCGTTTTTTTTATCGCCAAACAAAGCCCATCACGCTTCACGCATCACCGAAACAGCAGAAACCACAGAAGGGCTCCCGTAATGTTCAGTTGGTATTACTCATACAGATGGATGAGTTTGAAATGACGCTGGAGAAGCCCTTTGCGGTGGAGATGACTTGACGGCAGAGACTAACGAGAAACAGCCCAGACAACAACTAAAACACGACCGATTTGATTGCTTGCGGCATACCCTACAACACCACCCACGACGAGTCCATACATAGCAGTAGTATAATATCGCATGCAATCATCACTTCGCGCTGCTCACATGTCCATCCAACTCTGGGGCCTCGAACTTGGCCCAGTTCCTGCCCCCCTTCTGTTCTGGGTATCTATTTGCAAGGTTGTCTGTTGCTTGGACGTACGAGTAATACCTACGCAT